CTTGTTTTAGCCCTTTAACGCCGAGCGCCAGACAGGGTAACAACAAGTACCATCTTAAAACGTCTTTTGGTATGACGCGGCCGGGGATCGAACCCCGGGCCTTCCGCTCTCCGGGCAGACGCACTACCACTAGACCACGGAGGCGGTCCAGTATCTGACAGAATCTGGTACCATGGTTTATGTTCAAATGTACATTAGTCACATTGACAATGCCATCGATGAAAACATTGAATGTTCGCTCAATGACCTAACACATATTCGTCCATATCGGCATGAGCCAGTGGTTAGTCAAAACGGTCTTGCTAGCAGCGAGGAAAGAGACAATCTCATTAAAATCAGATCTTAGTTCTCGCTACCGCTAAACAAAGATCTGAGGACATCCCATTAGGGGTCACGTCAGAACGACCTTTCTTCAGACCAATCAGAGCATCGCTTACCAGATTATGAAAGTGACAGTCGGAATGTGATGCAACCTCGAAAACTTTAACTCCGAACGATAGTTACGGGTTTAACGACTGAATCCATACAATTTAAACCATCTATCAGCCATTCCAGAATGTTCTTTTGTTCGGGTTTCAAATTTGTAATCGCAAATTTGTCAAAATATGTTTCGAAGCGTAGTCGCCAATTTGAAATTAGTGCCGTAAAGCACGAGAAAGCTGCCTTCTGATTGGTCATTCCATTGGTCGGTCAAAGTTCGCGCAAGGGCGGTCTGACGTGACCCGTAATGGGATGTCCTCAGATCTTTGTTTTGCGGTAGCGAGAACTGAGGTCTGATTTTAATGAGATTGGGAAAGCGAGGAAGATCTGCCGAGTTAAGACGATCAGTCTGATGTCAGCCCGGAAAGACTAAGGAACACAATCAGATGTTAAATGCTAACCTAACATTTCTAATAAAATGGATGATTATCAATTAAAATATTCGTGAGACAGCTATTCTTGTGTAAAAGCGACAAACCCCTTCCATATTCAGTAGAAATCTCTGCTAAAAGCAGAGTCGATTGTACGATTCCAACAATTTTATGAGCATGTGTCTATGAATCACTATCAAATAGTGATGATACCAAGTGTTCGCGTATCCTGCCCCCAGTGGTGGCACCATCACAAACACATGCAAAGGCAAGTCAATTGTTCACCTGAAATAACACGGTGAACATGTGGTACAAGTCAAAACAGATTAAAGCTAAATTTGTTTTATTGACAAATGAATGTTATGTATTTGTATTGTCTGGTGATGGTTGGTTCAGTTAATACTGCCGTGTATACGATTATAATGATATGTACTTCACTGATCAATAGAGGGATATTAGTGGCAGACATTTAGCCTACTACATGCACAGTGACTCTACTCGTCTTGCCAAAACAACATCCATCATTATAGCATGGGCTACCATATATTAGAAAGACACAAACGAAGAATGAAATACATTTATTTAACAACAAATAAATGAAGTAAAACTGACAATATACCACTAAAATACCTGTCGCATTATAATGTCTCTGAAAAAGTCAAACAATGACTTACCCCAGATTTAGACAGATAATGACTGAAATAATCGCCGATGGTGGATCCAGATTCAGGGGGTTAAACACCCCCCACCCCCAAACCCCAAACTTCATCCTTCTGAAATCCACAACCAGTGAAAACGTCACTCCCCACCAAGGGTGAAAACTGGATCTGGCTCTGATTATTTATAATCGATAATAAACACGTATCCAATCAAACTGACACACAAATACTTTTTTCATATTTGACATTTATCCTAAAAGCATTCCAGAGGGAAATACATGTACTTGATATTTTGTTCTATTTTTCATTTTTCATGACAAAGACATCTTATATCCCGTTTTCATATAAAAAGGTGTATATAATGTGCGTGTTGGTGAGAAATAACGTGTTTTAAATACTTGTTTAAAATGGGGACTCAATCAGTTTCAGGGCTTACATATACTGGGCATAGAGATTCTCAACTTTCAAGTCTGGATTATTAAAGGCGTCCCAAAAATGAGACTGCCAGACCCCTTTTGGTACGCGGGATTTAGGGGTGTATTTAGAGGCATGCATGGCATAACATAATTATCTTTCATTATAAATCCTGTTGTCACATCTGCCAGTCTCAACAGTAAGCTGGAAATTGCAACATCTAAATCTAAAATAGTATGTTCTCAAATGTTGACGAAGGTGACAGATGCTTGAATACCTTTGAATATTAAGAAGGATTTAAACTGGTTACACTAAAAACACTTATGATTTGCATGGACGGATGATTGCCATGACTGAGAGAATTGGTTGGTTTGTTTGTTGTTTTAACGCCGCACTCAGCAATATTCCAGCTATATGACGGCGGTCTGTAAAATAATCGAGTCTGGACCAGACAATCCAGTGATTGACCTCATGAGCGTCGATCCACGCAATTGGGATCGATGACATGCATGAACCAAGTCAGCGAGCCTGACCACCCGACCCCTTTTGTCGCCTTTTAGGACAAGCATGTTTTGAAGATCTATTCTACCCCGGATCTTCACAGGCCTGTAGTTATCTAAATTATGTAAATTATGATATGATACGTAAATAAAATGTTTTGTAAGTTAAAACTTTAGTTGTGTTGCACTGTATACACAATATCCTTCAGTGGTTCGAATTTGCTCCGGTCTGAGCAGAGATTTCGCTGCTTGAAGTCACAGTTTCCTTTACGGGCTCAGCTTAGTGAGTACTAAATCATCTCTTAGGGGAGGAGCGGGGGGTGACGGACGACTCACAGCTTAGGATCGGATGGGTGCATTGGGGGGGGGGGGGGGGTGCTGGATGGGTTGGTAGCAGGAGTTGTCGCAATTGTAGTGGAGGTATTGTTGATCAAATATCGGCTTAATAACAGGCATGCAGGTGACCGTCGACAGCTTTGTTTTGACTGGAACATCGTGTAGAAAGTTGTAGAAATATGACATCTTCAACTTGTGAGGTCATTCGTGAGAAGGTCGATCCCTAAAACATAGATCTTGTGAGTGTCGATCCCGAGAATGTTGTCCGTAGATCTGGAAAGTCGATCCCTTAAATGTTGATCAACTGATCCCTATCCCGAGATTGTTGAAGCTCCCAGTAGATGAGGTGGGGGAATTCTGACGACATTTGGGCGACGCAGTAGTTACATCCGGTTGAATATCTGCTGCGGATCCAGGAGGAACAAACAGAGTGGATGTCGACGAGGGAGTCAAAGTGTCACGAGGCTGCACTATCTGCTGACTGGAACGGTGCTGTAGGGCAAAGTCACACCATGCATGAGCATTTCTAAGCCCGGATAAGAAATACTAGTCTGGTCACGAAGATGGAGGGACCTCCATAGTAGGAGATGACACCGCTGGGACGGAGACGGAGCCTGCGACGTGGATCTACTGGGAGAGTCGACAATCGATCTACCGAATCTTGACAGGATTCATCCTCTGAATGATGGCGATCATCATGTCGAGGAGAAGTGGTCTGTGACGAATCTGTAGCTCCATTGCGAGGTCAATCAGTAAAGCAAAGGATCCTGAATTCGGTCCCACAGACATTGATCGTGTGAGTGTCGATGCCAAGAGCGGCAACCCGCAGATCTAGAACGTTGATCCTTGGAGCGTCAATCCTGAGAGCTTCGATCCCTGATGTTTGAGGAAGCACATAGATCCTTGTCTGGGGTACGACAGCGATCCTGGCTTCATCGTCCCTTACGTCGATATCGTCACCGTCAAGTTTGAAGTGACTCTGTCCTGAGACGAAGCGGTCAGTTCAGCAACGACTGGAACATCTTGTTGAGGAGCTTGGGATGAGGGGCTTGCAGTGGAGGGGAAAGCCGGCTTAGTGACCCATTTGCGCTCCTTGGCAGAGGGGGGCCCATCTTCCACGTCTTTCCAGTTTGACTGCAGGTTAACATCACATTTGGTGCATTTGTATAGGCACTGGGAACATTTTTTGTCTATAGAGCAACGGCAGTGACAATCACAGTAGTGATGATGAGGTTCAGTAGGTACGTCTGTAATGTGGACAGCCTGGGCGTTTATCATGTCCTGTACCCACCCTCGCGATTAGTTTCATAAAGGTTGATACAAATAAGAAGGTAGCCTATGCCAAAAAAAAGGTATTCTCTAAATTTCAAGACACATCTCCACAGTGTTGCAATAATAAGGAGAATGATGTGGTAGGTGTAGTCAGGTGATCGAGTTATGTAAACACAAGATTACAGTGCGTGACCCACTTGCTTTGGTGGTGACCATGGTGATGCTGAGATGTGTTCGGGTGAATTGTTTTTAGAAGCTGGAAACTTTGTTAAAGCACATTCCCATTCCACATAAGGATCAAAAGATGAAGGAAATTCATGCTGCTATCAGTATATCAAAGTTATGTTACAGTGTCTGGACATAAAGATCAAAGTCCTCGACTCAAAATTGAAGGGAAAAAAAATCTGGAATTTCTAATAGATGGGTGAGATTTTGTGGCAGGATTTACCTCGGGCTATGGAAAGTCTTCCGTTTCAAATGTTTATCCCACTGAACGGAGAGATTGGCAATGTCAAGCATTTAGAATCAGTCATTTGGAATGCCCTGTGTTAACCTCTTCGAGGTTGCATGATTAAAAAACACATTCAGACTTTCACTTTTAAGATCATGTTAGTGATGCTCTGATTGTTCGGAATAAAGTTCATTGTCATTTTAGAAGTCCCCTGTTGATTATATTTACTTCACAAAGATCACAAATTTCCAGGCAAAATACGACTTTCTGACAAATGCAAAGTAATAAATAGCTGTTTAACAGTTGATAACAGTATGATAACGAAGATCACAGAGTTTACGTTTCATCTATTGTTTAAACATAAGAATTGACAAAGTTGAGTTCTCAGAACATATTAAGGTTTTACATTAATAAAATAATACATGTTACAACTAATGGTTGAACATCAACAACTGTAAGTGTAAGGCTTGTACCACACCACTGTGAGGTGATAAGAGAAACAAGTTCCACAGAATGATGCTTTTGATCAGGACTTGGTCCTGTTTATTCCTTCATTTACAGATATTTTTCATCAAAACCATGGAGTCAACAGTCAAAAATGTATTTAAAAAACTTAAAGACATATAACAAAAGAAACATGCTGCCTTAAGTGTGTCTTTGAAAGTCAAACAGATTATACATCCGTTCCAAACCGAGTGACATGGAAGTTACAAAAATGTTCTCAACATTTTGATAGTATACAATATATCAAACAATATAAAGCAATTTTGTTCAAAATGTTTGTACAACAGGGAGCCATCAAACCTTTTCAATAATAATGATAAAGATGTCACCATCCCTGACAGTTCATGTCTTCAACAGAAAGAGTCACTCAAGCATCTTCTGAGGCTCACATACAGATATCCAAATATATTCCTAGCAAGGCTTCAATACTTTGACAAGTCTGGATTTCTTCACTTTCTGGAAACTTAGATATTCTCTGGTCTCCTTTTTCATTACTGGTTTATAGCAAAAGGCTATTTAACAAAAGAAATCTTCACTACAGTCTGGTATCTTCTCTGCAGTCTTAAAGTTCAAAGGCATATATGAGAAGGGTGACATAGCTGCCCATGATCTGTGTTCGATTCTATCAAGCGTATAATATGTGTATAAAGCTCATGCACATCCCTGATTTGGCTGTAATATTTAAGGGCAGATCCAGCATTTTTAAAAGGCAGGGGTCCAAAATATCAAAATCCTCTCTCAGATACTTTTACTGCCTACAACATATTACATTCGGTTTTCAAAAAGGGAGGTCCTAATCCCTTCCTCATTCGCCTATGATATTGCTGACAGTTGTGTAAAAAACATATTCATTCATTCATTCACAAAGGATAATTGTAAATAATCGCATGTATGTCATTATAAATAAAAATCATCAGTAACAAAATTAATTTGTATAGATCTAGAAGTCACAGCTGACATCCCGCACTGCAACTGGCACAGCCCTGTATGGGGTAAAATATCACAGTTGTTTGTAAGAGGCTAGTATAAAAGTCATGCAGATATTTCAACCTGTGTTTAAATAACAATAATGCACATAATCATAAACATATTCATAAACATATCAAATAGGCAAGGCCTAGTTTTGCTGTACAGATTTTCTTGAGAATTCATGGAGGAGGTAAACGAAACGTGAGGTGAGGTGAGGTGAGGTGAAGGTTGATGTGAAAAAAGGTCAAAGTGGCGTTCCAACCAAAGAGGGGTGGTTCGCTAGCCTTATGGTTAAAGCGTTCGCTCGTCACACCGAAAACCCGGGTTCGATTCCCGACATGGGTACAATGTGTGAAGCCCATTTCTGGTGTCCCCCGCTGTTATATTGCTGGAATATTGCGAAAAGCAGCGTAAAACCATACTCACTCACTCCAACCAAAGAATCCAGAATGTTATCTTGAAAATGTCTGTTAATTAAATGGCTAGCCACTGTATTTTACTTGAAAAGCTCTTGAAAAAGATATTAAAGCAAGGTCATCTGGAACAATTAAATAGTAAGGCACCAAAATTCAAAAGAAAGTTCAGCTGAAACTGTGTACTAATGTCATCAAGTGTCCCGGACACCAGGTGTCATGGAGTTGGTGTGTGGCAGTCCAGGTACATTGAATGACAACAACACATAATCACACATAAACAACAAATAACAGTTTAACAGATATCTGACAATGTACTGACATAATGAAAAGGCTTTTGTTGCCATGATCTGCATCTCATCTGATCAACCCACACAACCATCAACACAGGAAACATCCATACAGTACAGTTCTCCACAGAACTGTTATTAACCATTAAAGGAAAACAAACTTAAGAAAAACTTACCATTGTTCCTGAATATTTGGAGCAGCATCACTCTTTATTCCATAACTGTAATCATAATGTTTTTGTAATAAATTGGGGCTTTAAATTATACTGCAGAAGATAAAAGCATATTGAATTGATTTCAAAAGACAGATCATCTTCATAAAGCCGATACGAGGCATGGCTGGAGGATCCAGGCTACAGGACCGTACAGACTCTGGACTTCTTGTTCCGTCTCTCAAGTTCCAGCATCTGCTTCTGTAGGGTCTGCAGCTCATTGGTCTTCTCCATCAGCTTCACCATCACCTCCTCCCGTCCCTCCTGAGACTTCTCCAGTTTCTGGGGAGGAAATAAAGACAATGAACACAACAAAACATTTCTGGCATATATAGGGACAGTCTGGGGAGGAATGCAGATAGATGAACACAGCAGAACCTTTCTTGGGAGTATGGCCAGACTGGGGAGGAACACAGATAGATGAACACAGCAGAACCTTTCTGGCATATATAAGGACAGTTTGGGGTTGAACACAGAAAGATGAACACAGCAGAACCTTTCTGGCATATATAGGGACAGTCTGAGGAGAAACCCAGCAGAGCCTTTCTGGCATATATAGGGACAGTTTGGGGAGGAACACAGATGAACACAGCAGAACCTTTCTGGAATATTTAGGGATAGTCTGGGGAGGAACACAGATAGATGAACACAGCAGAACCTTTCTTGGGAGTATGGCCAGACTGGGGAGGAGCGCAGATAGATGAACACAGCAGAACCTTTCTGGCATACATAGGGACAGTCTGGAGAGGAACGCAGATAGATAAACAAATATACACAGTCAATCCTTAAATAGAGACAGTCTGGGGAGGAACACAGATAGATGAACACAGCATAACCTTTCTGGCATATATAGGGACAGTCTGGGGAGGAACACAGATAGATGAACACAGCATAACCTTTCTGGCATATATAGGGTCAGACTGGGGAGGAGCGCAGATAGATGAACACAGCAGAACCTTTCTGGCATATATAGGGACAGTCTGAGGAGGAACACAGATGAACACAGATAAACATTTCTGGCATACATAGAGACAGTCTGGGGAGGAACACTGATGAACACAGCAGAACCTTTCTGGCATACATAAGGACAGTCTGGGGTGGAACACAGACAGATGAACACAGCAGAACCTTTCTGGCATACATAGAGACAGTCTGGGGAGGAACACAGATCGATGAACACAGCATAACCTTTCTGGCATATACAGGGACACTCTGGGGAGGAACACAGATAGATGAACACAGCAGAACCTTTCTGGCATATATAGAGACAGTCTGGGGAGGAACACAGATAGATGAACACAGCAGAACCTTTCTGGCATACATAGGGACAGTCTGGAGAGGAACCCAGATAGGTAAACAAAAATACACAGTCAATCCTTAAATAGAGACAGTCTGGGGAGGAACACAGATAGATGAACACAGCAGAACCTTTCTGGCATATATAGGGACAGTCTGGGGAGGAACACAGATAGATGAACACAGCAGAACCTTTCTAGGGTAAATATAGGTTAAGTGAAATGGGGTTTAACGTCGTGTCCAAGATTATTGCACTTATATAGCGACGTGCATGCACGTGTATGTGTGTGTGTGGCTGCTTGTACAAGTCCGGAATGATGCCGATTTATAGTGCTAGCTCACTGAGATACCATGCCGCAGTTTAACATGAATACCCCACTGAGACACAGTATACTGACTCCGAGCCGACCAGTCCTTGTTTTAGCCCCTTAATGCCGAGCGCCAGACAGGGTAACAGCAAGTACCATCTTTTAACGTCTTTTGGTATGACGCGGCTGGGGATCGAACCCCGGACCTTCCGCTCTCCGGGCGGACGCTCTACCATTAGACCACAGAGGCGGTCCCTGGCATATATAGAGACAGTCTGGGGAGGAACACAGATAGATGAACACAGCAGAACCTTTCTGGCATATACAAGGACACTCTGGGAAAGAACGCACATAGATGAACACAGCAGAACCTTTCTGGCATATAAAGGGACAGTCTGGTGTGGATGATGACGATGATGATGATGATGCAGTTTGAGATTCTATGAATGCTTCTGGAACCTATTCCAAAAGAGAGCCCCTCATCTAGAAATCGGGTGTTTCCTGATGTCGCTGTACTTATATACATGCCATCCACAGACAATAAGGGATTCATTCTGATGACAAAATTATTGTCTCGCTGTAATATATAGTCCCTCATATTGTCCAATTATAGATCTGAAGTTTCTTCCACATTATAATGATCAATATCATAGGGCATTTTGTAAAGGGAGGTATCCCTATTGTCTGATCTACAGTGGTACAGTGGAGGGTGATCATATGACACTGACGTGTGACATGAGCCTTCTGGAGGAAAGGTTGATTCTCTGTTCACAGGGCCATGCACACTGACTGATGAAAGTGACACTGTTAGAAACATTGATCGAGTGATCTTCCTGAAGAAAATGTATTTCTGAGCAAAATGTATTTTCTCCTACCTTGCCCATCATGGTACTTGGTAATTTATCACTTAGTATTCACATCAACTGAACTATCGGACTTTCTTATAACTGGACAGTGCACCAATATGATCATGGTATAATTGATTCTGTACTATATCATTTTGCACATATCTGCACATCACATATGTACAAGCTGCTACTTTTAGACATTTTGCTTTCATACAAAGTCTTATAATGTACAAGTGTTGTCTTAAAATAACATTTGTTGTCTTAAAAAACAATTGACATCTAAAATAAAACTTTCACTAAAATCATCTTTTCTTTACCCTCATCAAAATTAAAACAACTTTAATCCAAACAAACCTGTTACAATAAGAATCATAGGGTCTACACATTTTTGAAAGTATCGATACATATCATAATCGTATCATAGATAAAACTTATTATCGAGCATGACATAAAACTATATATTTGTTTCAGGTGTGACCTTCACCTTTCTCTCCCAGTGTTGTATTTCGCGGGCTCTCAGCATCTGAACGCTGCCATCCCGACGCAGGAAGGCATCGCTGCGGTACAGGTACAGCTCGCTATGTTCATCAGGGTCCTTGACCTTCACCTCAAGGACCTTCAGATTGGCTGCAACACAGATCACATGGTCTAGGTCATGTTCTAACATTCAGTTCTAAGTGTTAAATAGTAGTGATATTGTCATCTTCCCGAGGCAAGGGAGTCAACTGACTCTTAACATCCAGTTTCCACCCTTGCCAAACCAGGCTGGAATTTCTGAATTCGATCAGTGGCTATTACAAGTATTATCCCTTCTATGCCCCTTCTATTGACCAATCAGATTTCACCTCTCATATCGCCTGCATTTGCTTCAAACAAAATGGCCGCACCCTGTAAAGACGATCTGATCAATGATCAATATCTATATTGTAATAAAACGGGTCTTACCTCGCGAAATGCATCAAATCATGTGAGCACCTTGATTAAAAACATAAAAAGGTTTAGAAAATTGCTGTCGATAGTACACATGCTTTGCAAATTCTGCACATTGAAATCCATGTTGTTTACAATGTAAACTTTACATCCAAATGTCGATTTCGTAAAGCGATTTTGATTGGACTATGCATAGACATAGATTTGTTAGTCCAGCAAAAATATAACTCCATAATTCCAGCCTAGTTCTACTTTTAACCTTGCCTCGGGACATCTTCCCGTTAACTGACTTTAAAAGTCCAGTTTCCACCCTTGCCGAACTAGGCTGGAATTACTGGGCTCGATCATAGCGCCACCAGTGGCTATTACCAGCTAAGCCTCTCCTATGGACCAATCAGATTCCACCTCTCGTTACACTTGCGCTTGCTTCACACAAAATGGTGGCGCCCAGTCAGGACGATCTGATCGATAATCAAGATCTATATTGTGATAAAACAGGTTTTACATCGCGAAATGCATCAAATAACGCGAGCACCTTGATTAAAAACATAAAAAGATTTGGAAAATATCTGCTGACAACGAGTTGGTGGTGCACATGCTTTGCAAATCCTGCAATCGACCGAAATCTGCACGACGGTTCACGAACCAGATTTCGATTTCGGTGCGCAATTTTGATTGAACTATGCATAGACTCGTTAGTCCAGCCAAAATGTAATATTAGTATCAAACAAAAGAGAAGATTTTTTATTTATTTTCAGTTATATTTGATATTGAAAAAAATCCAAAATATTGCAAATTTTTTCCTGTCCAGACTATTTGCATCAAACAAATTCAATTTAGTGAGGCTAAATCTCAGTGACCGGTCACCTAAGGTACCAGGTAATCTTGTCATTGAAAACACATTATGTCTGTCTCCATTCTATCATGAGAAAATTAATTGCTTGATAGACAAAATGAAAAGGCCCCTTTCCAAAAGTTTGGAAACACTTATAGTAGTCTTTAAACTAAGTACTGTACTTAATATGATCAGGGGCGGTGGGGTAGCCTTGTGGTTTAAGCATTCGCTCATCACGCCGAAGACCGGGGTTTGATTCCCGACATGGGTACAATGTGTGAAGCCCATTTCTGGTGTCCTCCACCGTGATATTGCTGGAACATTGCTTAAATGGTCATAAAACCAGACTCACTCACTCACTCATTAATGTGCTCAAACATTGATTTTTTACATCAAAATACTTTACTTGCATATATTACAGAGATTGAAAGTTTGAGGTACAGATGCTTCGTATTTCAACTTGAAGTGGGCGCCCCAAAAGAAAATTAAGCCAGCTCTACAAGGTTTAGTTCTACGCCACACATCACTATCATGATGTCATACCACTTATTGTGATGCAAGAGATATGACATCACAGCTAACTACAGAAAAGTGACACATTTCAAGCTCTCTGTTAACTCAAAAACTTTAAATACACTCCCTTATTCAATTTCTATCCTGTTGTCTGCCCACAATGCATTGTCACACATACTCTAAAGATTGTAGAAACCACAACTCTGCATTTCGTAATTGTAAGAAACCTAATTTCAAACTTCCTACCACCAATGATTGAGAAAGAAATGGTTTTCTAGAAATAATAGCCTCTGCAGTGATGCAGACGTCAAATCAGCTGTTTCAATCAGAGGTTGGTATTGAGATTTGAAACCTCTGATAGACCAATCAGAATCAAGTATTTTCCAAATTCTTGAATTGAATTGGATTTTTACCTAAATGCCAATTAATTAGTATTGATGATGACAATGATCCATCAAGGGTAAGCATGTTTTACCATTTAATAAATATACAAAAATTAACAAACAATGTGTTCACAAAATATGTGAAAGACATGCAAAGCTGATCTTGCACCTTCTCAGTCTAATTATAATCAGATCTTAGCTCTCGCTACTGCTAAACAAAGATCTGATTACATCCCATTATTGGTCACGTCAGAGCGACCCTTCATCCAACCAAACAGAGCATTGCTTACTAGATAGTCTGTCTTACAGACCCTGATACAAATATATATCAAATACAGCCCATGAAAGTCTATAATGTTTGGCAAGTCTAGATCACTGCAGTATAGAGTCACAGGGCTCCTTTTTATTATATTTTTATTAAGATAATTGAACAACTTTTTTTATGTATGATATGTTCATTTCAGAGACTAGATGTTAGTCTACTTACTAGACTGAGAAACTGACTCATGCGACCTCGAAACTGGGTATTCTTCAGGACATATAAGGACTGTATGACAGATTCCGTCAAAATTTGTCTGTCTGTCTCTCGCTTAAATGGTATAAACATTTGAAACAGAACAGACTTTCCTTAGACCGTGGGAGGTAGTGTCATACAGCCTCCACCATTTATGAGACATTCAATAACTTTCAAACATTAATCTATTCATCTATTCTAGGTTTTAGCATCCCCCACAGGTGTTTAAACTGACTCACAGGAGAAAGAGTTGGTTTTATCCAGGACTGGAACAAAGTCAACGCTGTACAGGTCGGGCAGCAATGTTGGAGTGATAGACTTGATGGCCTGATCTATTGACAGTCGGTGTTTGTCCTCGTCCTGTTGGTCACACACCACGCCAACCACATAGCCTGTGGATAACAACATGAAATGTAGATAACACAACATAGCCCATGGATAACAACATGAAATGTACATAACACAACATAGCCCATGGATAACAACAACATCAAATGTAGATAACACAACATAGCCCGTGGATAACAACATCAAATGTAGATAACACAACACAGCCCATGGATAACAACATCAAATGTAGATAACACAACATAGCCCGTGGATAACAACATCAAATGTAGATAACACAACATAGCCCATGGATAACATCAAATGTAGATAACACAACATAGCCCGTGGATAACAACATCAAATGTAGATAACACAACACAGCCCATGGATAACAACATCAAATGTAGATAACACAACATAGCCCGTGGATAACAACATCAAATGTAGATAACACAACATAGCCCATGGATAACAACATCAAATGTAGATAACACAACATAGCCCGTGGATAACAACATCAAATGTAGATAACACAACATAGCCCATGGATAAAACAAGAGAGCATGAGGACAGCAATCTTCCCGAGGCAAGGGAGATAACTGACTGTAAAAGTTCAGTTTCCACATTTGCTGAACTGGAAATTCTGGGCTCAATCGCAGCACCACCAGTGACTATTATGAGTTATGTCCCTTCTATGTCCCTCCTACTGACCAATCAGATTCCACTTCTCATACCACTTGCATTTGCTCCAAACAAAATGGCGGCGTACAGTCACACCCTCTGATCAATAATCAAGATCTTATTGTAATAAAACAGGTGCATCAAATCATGTGAGCACCTGGATAAAAACCTGAAAAGATTTGGAAATTATTTGATGTTGGCGGTAAACATGCTTTGCAAATCCTGCAATCGACCAAAATCTGCACAGCATTTTACGAACCTGATGTCAATATCGTTATGTGAGTTTAATGGGACTATGCATACACTCGTTAGTCCAGCCAAAAAATAGCTCGATAATTGCTGCCCAGTTCGGCAAGGGTACAAACTGGACTTTTCTAGTCAGTTAACTCCCTTGCCTTGAGAAGATGGAGGATGTCACAACACAACATAGCCTGAAGACTACCGGACAACCATGATACACAATACTTTATAACCTGTAAGTAATACGATACACCGGTGCATTGGAGGATCGCGATACTTAACTTCTCGATACAACTATCGATCACAGTCGCACACAAATATTGATTCCTACCTTAAACGTTTGCTTTAAAAACTGTTACTAACTAGTAGTGAAAATTAGAGGTGAAAATGTGAATATTCTCATCCATTGCACAACACTTGACACTGCTAACTGTAAACCATCAGTGTGCCAAGTATTTAGCAATACTGTCTTTGAAAAAGATGGCTTACGCATCACAGATAAGAGCATGTGCAAGTATCGTATCGAACCAAGAGCAAGGTATCGTGATACGTAACGGAAACTGAACAAGGTATCGTGATACTATCAAACAAAGAGCAAGGAATCGTGATACATATCGGACCATGAGCAAGGTATTTTTATACGTATCTGACCATGAGCAAGGTATTGTGTAATGTATCAGACCATGAGCAAGGTATTGTGATACATATTGGACCATGAGCAAGGTATTGTGATACGTATAGGACCATGAGCAAGGTATTGTGATACGTATCAGACCATGAGCAAGGTATTTTTATACGTATCTGACCATGAGCAAGGTATTGTGTAATGTATCAGACCATGAGCAAGGTATTGTGATACATATAAGACCATGAGCAAGGTATTGTGATACGTATAGGACCATGAGCAAGGTATTGTGATACGTATCAGACCATGAGCAAGGTATTGTGATACGTATCGGACCATGAGCAAGGTATTGTGATACGTATCAAACCATGAGCAAGGTATTGTGATACGTATCAGACCTAAGCAAGGTATCGTGATACGTATCAAACCATGAGCAAGGTTTTGTGATACATATCGGACCATGAGTGAGTGAGTTAAAATTTAACGTCACATTATCGGACCATGAGCAAGGTATCGTGTAATGTATCAGACCATGAGCAAGGTATCGTGATACGTATAGGACCATGAGCATGGTATCGTGATACGTATCAAACCATGAGCAAGGTATTGTGATACATATAGGACCATGAGCAAGGTATCGTGATACGGATCAAACCATGAACAAGGTATTGTCATAGGTATAGGACCATGAGCAAGGTATCGTGATACGGATCAAACCATGAGCAAGGTATTTTGATACATATCGGACCATGAGCAAGGTATTGTGATACATATCGGACCATGAGCAAGGTATTGTGATACGTATCAGACCATGAGCAAGGTATCGTGATACTTACTAAACCATGAGCAAGGTATTGTGATACATATCGGACCATGAGCAAGGTATTATGATATGGATCAAACCATGAGCAAGGTATTGTGATACGTATAGGACCATGAGCAAGGTATCGTGATACAGATCAAACCATGAGCAAGGTATTGTGATACGTATCGGACCATGAGCAAGGTATTGTGATACGAATCAAACAATGGGCAAGGTATTGCGATACGTATAGGACCATGAGCAAGGTATCGTGATATGGATCAAACAATGGGCAAGGTATTGCAATACGTATCGGACCATGAGCAAGGTATCGTGATACGGATCAAACAATGAGCAAGGTATCGTCATACGTATAGGACCATGAGCAAGGTATCGTGATATGGATCAAACCATGAGCAAGGTATTGTCATACGTATAGGACCATGAGCAAGGTATCCTGATATGGATCAAACAATGAGCAAGGTATTGTGATACGTATCGGACCATGAGCAAGGTATCGTGTAACGTATCAAACCATGAGCATGAAATATGTATGATAACATGCTTGCTCTGAATCGTGCTCAACACTCAGATCGATGTCAACAACGGCTGCTCATCTGCAGACTCGGCAAGCTAGCAAAAAAATATCTAGAATGCTCGACCCACTTGAACTGAGTTGAGGGGGTCCAGGCTTCATAGTGGTGGTCACTCAGACAGGAACATGTACGTACGTTGGTTTATGATGGTCATAGTAAAACTAACATACATGCCATATATGAACATATATAATCATTTAAAATCACAATAAATAAATGCCTAAATAACAGGCAAAATGACATTTTCAATATGGCTATATAGGCAACCATGTTTAAACCTGCATCAAAATTTAGCAACATTTGATCACTCAGTATCATAGGCATTGATGTTTCAGATGTCAAAGAAGCAAACATTAATGACAGACACATGGACCAATATATAAGAAAGATTAATGTTCAATCCTTGATATTTTATCAGTTAACAAAATGTCAACTGTCAAAAGAAAATATAAACATATTCAAATGTGCTGACAACAAGAATATTGTATTATTTCCCTTGTTAGTAATGTCCTTTAAGATTGACCTACCATCATTATCTACACCGATGAACAATGTTCCACCGTTCGTGTTGAGAAAGGCACACACATACTTCCCAATATTGTCATGTAACAGGTACTTGCGTTCACTCGCAACAAACCCTCCCTGTTTGAACTCCGCAGTCCGAGTCTCATTACCTAAACTTTCCCTGTAATGATAGAAACGCTCGGGTGCATTGGGACCCAGGCCACTGATTGACGTAGCCATGGAGAGCTGTTCATTTTCAAGGGGTGGTAAGATTGGTTTTGAGATGGTTTGCGTCGGCAGACCCGTAGTGGATGTTTGTGCATGATTCCCCTGATGACTCGGACTTGAGAATGGAAGGTTCTTGACTTTATCAGCCAATGAGAACTGTGTCTCGGCGCCATTGTCAGCACCATTGTTGCTGCAGTCAACAGTTTGCTGTTGGGGTTGTTTCGGTGGCTTCTTGTAGTCGACCTTGAGACGCTTGTTTGGGTCTTGTATTGAGGTGAAGTCAAAATGAACTTCTGCGCGACTAGTCTGTGAACTCAGGTGATGAAGAACATATTTGACTGCATCAACATCTTCCAGATCAACAAATGCATAGCAGTAGTCTGATTTCTTGCTGTTGATGACCGTTACATGTCGTCTTCTGACATCGAGGTTGATGCATTTGAACAGAAGGGTTAGATGACCTTTCAGCTTTCGAGCAGGCAAGTCCCTCTTTAACCCTCCCACAAAAATACATGTGTCGTCATTGTCAAATGGCATGGACATGGCCAGCTACCTGCAGTAATAGAGAACTATTTCAGTACATGAAAAACAAGAATAAATCACATGGTGTCTTTGAAATGTCAATATTTTTCACATGGAAACTTCAGATTCATAATGTCTTACGGCATGTTGTAATTGAGTTCAGATATTGTGAAACTGAGTCAATGTCTATTTTTCTTCATTTTTTTGCAAGACAGGGCTCGTAATTAACATACCGTATTCGATGTATTAAGCGCCACACTCTAATAAGCGCCCATGGCTATATTCGCTAATATATTGGCTAGTGAACAACCACAATTAGCACCCCTTCCAATTGATCAATGCACACAAGACCTATTTATTTGTGTATATTACGCACTTGTGTGTTATATGCACCCTTAATTAGGGGCAATTAGGGGACTTTTCTCTTGTATCATTACAGGCTGTCAGCATAAACCATGAAATTTACAATCTTTCAACTTTGTTTATTTTCACCAAAAATTCATTCTAATAAGAGCCCCCTATTTCTAATTTTGAGAGCGCCAAAGGCGTTTATTACGTCGAATACGGTAAGTCTAGTCTGAGACAAGTAAAAATTATGAAAGCTAGTCTCATTCAAATCTAGAGGTTTCGCAGAAACAAATAAAAGAAAGGAAATCATGAAGATCTGGTTGGAAACAAAATCTCTATCATCTGTCAGCAGGGGGGGCACAGGTGGCCCAGTCGTCTAAGGCGCCGTGATTCGCTGTGCAGAGTTGCGTCCCTTGGGCACGCCAGAAACCTAGGATTGTGGGTTCGAATCCCGGTTCGCCTTGATTATGTTTCTAGGTTTGTCAGCACCATACCCGTGCTCGTGGGTTTCACCGAAGTGGTAAACGTCTGAGACCTGCATCACTTCGGGCTTTCCTCAAACATTAAGCTGACACTCCGTGATATAACTGGAATACTGTTAAAAGCGGCGTTAAACCCAGCTCACTCACTCACTCAGCAGGATATTCACATCTCTATAAAATGTAAGATACATTGAGCAATGAATGGGGACTGAAGAGCATTATTGCCCCATACAAACCAGATGCAAGAGGAGTTGCCATTCTTTTCGACAATAATTTTGAAATATAAATCCACAAGATTAAATCTGTTGTAAATGGAAAATGTATCCTCACAGATACAACTATGGATGGAATAGGATTTATGTTTTGCAATATTTATGGACCTAACATAGTAACGGTTACAGTTATTATACAATGTTCTATAATACTTTATTCAATGATAGGAATATGATATGAATGATAATACCTTATTCAATGATAGCAATATGATATGAATGATAATACCTTATTCAATGATAGCAATATGATATGAATGATAATGAATCTATATTAATAAGTGGGAACGGGAATCTAGACCTTGAAAATTATAGAAACATCAATGATAAATATAATATAAGGAAAAAACAGAACGCTTTACTTGATAGGGAAGAACTAAATGACAGTGCCAAAATATTCACCTGGTGGGGAGGAAAACATAAGACAACAGGCTAGACTTGATATTTTTGCTTGGTTTCTCAAAATTCAGAAAGGACCAGTAACATGAACTTTTAGCATCAGGTAGATGGCAACTGATCTGTACCAGATCATTTATGTTTTTGTGGACTAGTAAAAAAATCAAAATTAATTTCTTACCCTGCAACATTGGGCAAAAACATAACGAATGAGTTGTTTGATTGGCTGTAGGTGTTCTTGTAACCAAAATAATTCATAGCCATGAAGAATCTGTAGACATTCCGAACTCATAGACAAAATTCACAGTGAACTTGTACACAAAACACTACCGGGATATAGACTTAAAATTTAAATGGCAATGAATATGGGTTGCATTATGTTGCTAAGTATTCATGAAATTAATAATATTAATTATTAGTATTTAATTCCAATATTAAAAAGATGTGTCTACAAATTCTCTCCCACTTTTTCAACGAATTCACTGCAAATGGCCCATACAATTAAGTTGGTGGTGTCTACACTTTCAACCTGACTTGCAAGAACAGTCGCTTGATAACTTGATCCAAGTTATGCTGGCTGAACTGGAACCTGGCAAAACAGGATCCTGACTGTAGAAATTGTGCAGGAGCCTTGGTTGGAGAGAGCCTTGTCTGAGTATAGTCTAAGTATAGAAGTTTTAGAATGATTCCCTTGGATACCCTTTATTATCCCATGTTTTAGTTGTTTTAGAATCTGACAATTTCCATATTGACGATTTTAGATATCCATCCTCCTTTGCTATTATAGGGTTGGGTTGATATTACTTTTGCAGAGTAGTTTTAATATTGGATTGCAAAATACAAATCTTCCTTGTGAAGATCGTAGATAACGCATATAGCTACGTCGATCTGTTGTTATCCACGACCAAGCTCAGATTGCTCGAGTTCCAGTACGCAGGGCGACACCACATGTTACAAAGATAGATGTGCTTGTGCAAGATTTATTCCAGGAATACCTGGTGCTTTTTTTAAAATTAAGCATGCGAATTACCTCTAGATTCGAGAAACGAGCATATTCTCGCCTCGACACAACGCTTGGGTGGATACGGTAACTTCCTTGACGTCAACAAACATAACGACCTTTTTCCGGCAGCAGTCAAAAGCCCAGGGTAATCTAAAATAGGTACTTCATATGTGAACTAGGAATATTAATCTAGAAATTGTACGAACAGCGGATTCTGGCACGACAAAGCGACAGAGGGAATGAGATAATGATCTCCCTTTGTTAGACATGCGGTTTAGATTGGAATTGACGAAGACAATACTCATAGCTAGACTAGATAGATGATAAGCGGGTTATTCTCAGGGAGGAACACTTTGATCACTTAGACAGATTGTCTTTATTTCATCTAAATTTGAATATACATATATGATATTCCAAAGATAGCATTATTAACCATTTAGTTGTAGATATACACTCTGTAAATATTTCCACTGAAAAATAGTTTTACAAATCACTATCATCATATGTGACCTGAAAACTTAGAACAAAGAAGAAGAAGGCATGCCTCCATATAGGATTGTCATAAATAATAGTCAATGGATCACACTGTAACAAAACTATTTACACAAAGTACGCCACAGACGGATTCAAACATCTTTCTTTCCTCTTAAAAGTTACAGCACCAGATCAAAATAAAGGCACCTTATTTAATAACAAAGACACATTGATTAAAGTATTGAGGTCGTATTACAGCAAAATCTGAGCGCTCCAACACAAGGCAAGGACATGCGTCTTTGTATACTGATCCTACAAGTACGTTTTTTATGTATTAAATTTTGGTCATTTGACCTTTAACCATATGAGAATTGAATATATTATAACGCTACACAGATTTATCAAGATCACTGAAAAGATCATTTTTTCAACAAGTCTTACATAAGATAGGGGAGATATATTTATTCGCAGTTACAAACTAGAGTTGTCCAAAACGTGATGAACATATTTTTTTGAAGGAATTGTTACATGGTATACTATGCTATCATATTTAATTAATGTGGCACTTGGAAGAAATAATGGTCTTTTTCTAGAGAGCTAGCCATGCAAATCGTAATTATTTAAAATTAGATTTGTCTTACTCAGCAGAATTATCTGTTTTACGCAACTCATGCAAATCAGTTTCAACAACTCATTAAATCCCCTCCCTATTAACAATACAATACGCTCTGCGTGCGAGGTATCGTAGTAAAAGTTGTGATTTCCATGAGACTGCACACAAGATCATTTAAAATAATTACTGTTTGTTTTATAATCAGGTGTATTTTGAAAGAGACAGGATTATGATTTTAAATAGTCTTGAAAAAGGGTTATTTCATCAAAAATGTATAATACCAATGTTCGATATGAACCATTTGAAAACCGTTCACCAGCTTGTATTAAACAAAGGGCGATAACCAAAGTTCACCCAAGCAAACCACAACATCGAGCGTCTAAATATATAATTGTAACCGAACAAATAGCCTATTTTTAATTAAAAATGTCATTTTATGTATAATAACTTGAAAAGGTTTAACATTGATATAATACTTCATCGCATGTTTCTGTTTTTGTTCGGTATAATCGGTGAAATGAAATACCAGATTAGTTCTCGTTTTTAACAAACCCATTGTCGTAACTACATTAGTTTTAAAGGTGTAATAGATGTGATATGTTCTATTTCATAATAATCGCACTCATAACAGAACTGTTATAACTTAAGGAACATAACCTTTTTGGATAATTAAAAATTGAAATAGTATTTTCATGTACGACATGTTGAAAACGCTATTACACCGGAAGTGAAATTGAGCTCGACACGTCGAGATGACACCGGTGATGTCGATGACATTTTCACACATATTGGTCAGCAGTACCGTTAGACAATCAGCCAAGTAGGACTTTTAGCGGTAAACATCAGTCAATCGTCGCCCATCCGTATTCATCAACGATGGAGTCTTTGTACCACCAAACCAACAAACTATTGCACGAAGTGCAAGGCGACTTGGGGAAGATGGAACGCTGCCCAGCTGACAGTGTTCACATTATCGAAAATGAAGTTCAGGCGAAGATTGATCACGTTATAAGTAATTCAGAACGACTTACGATGCTAGTCAACAAAGAACCCCCAACTCGCAGAGCAAACGCCAAACTAAGAGTGGACCAGCTGAAGTACGACTGTCAGCACCTCCAAGCTGCCCTGCGCCAATTACAGCATAAAAGGTGGGACACCATTCTAACTCACTGTTACAATATGCGTAGATGTTTTATGTATATTTATTCAAAGTTAGGGATAATTGTCTTGAAATGGAGTTTCAAATAATTTTAAATTGCATTATGAGATAGATGAGATTTAGTATAATGCTTATTAAGGCCACAACACGTCTTATCCCTTATCCAACCTGACCATGCTGACCTAGAAAATGTTTTATAAATAAAAACTTTTGCAAGTCATTCAGTCAAGCTTTCATATGCATTCCATGAAGAATTTATGATATGTAATTTTTGCTATTGGAATGGAATTATTTAGGCTTGACAACAAATCATTGACAATTAATCGTCAAACCAGCTGCAGTTACCATATTCCCTCATCTATTCGTCGTATAATATAAGACTTTCTCAATTCTATGCTATGGATCATCCTGTAAGATAAGTCTGTCAACAGCACACTTCAACATCTCCTAAATTGTAAAATATATGTTAAGATCTGTTCCAATCTATTCCTTAATCACTTACAGTAAACTACGGTTATAACGAACACGCTTATAAGGAACTGACCGATAAACGAAATTATTTTTTAGTCCCGGCCATTTGTTGTATATATGCTGTATATATGCTTATAACGAACTACGGTTATAACGAAATAAAATGAGTGGTCCCTTTGAGTTTGTTATAACCGTAGTTTACTGTATCTTGAAATATGTATACTTTATTTCATCATAACTTTGAATACGGATTCCAGCTCGAAAACAAAGGTGTATATGAAGGGGTCGCAATGTTGTTTTCCAAAACCACCTGTACTGGTAAAGTAACAAAGGTGATTGGGATATTTATTTGTTGGCCTAACCAAAGCTGATCTCCAGATAATCTGCATATTTGTGTAAAATACACAAATTTAATCACATTACCCAATTAACATGATTAATTCTGAGTTGGTGGCATACCAATACACATGAAACAATTAAAAAGTAGCTTAGAAACACTCTGCAGAGCTACCCCAATACCTATTGTATCCTTTTCAACTTGCATACCTATATTTCTTTACAGATTTTTATTTACTGATCAAACGCAGGCATCACACTTACATGAACCCTACTTCAGTAAATAGTGCATTAAAAAAGATGCTGCATCATTCTTGTCACCTTGACATACATCACACAAACAGATACAGATATATTTACAGTCACCTGAAACAAAATTTTATTTTTAAGCAAAATTATTAAATTCTGTCTACTCATTATTGTACATCTACCCAATTGACTCCCTTGAAGTAGAAATGTATTGAATACCCCAAGAAAATTATCAATGCCTAAAGTGAATGATGACTTGTGAGTTAACACTCAATGGCTCAAAAGATTATCACAAGCCCGGCCAATATCTATTTGTATGAAATTTGGCTCCACTACTACCATTAACACTTTAATTAAGGTTAGTTTTCATATTGAAACTGGGATAAAGGCAATACGCCGCTGTGTGATCATAATGATAATAGGCATGTTTTGCAGAGAAGCTTCAAAATTCCTAACAGTCCCCTGAAGTATCAAATGTCAAGCAGAAACTCATGTTTATTCTGTATTTGATATTATTAAATGAAATTAACAAAGTGTTACATTTGGCATCAGCCTTTCAGTAGTCGTTAAATGGACCTTTGACCATGTTGAGAGTTAATGCCTTGTTTGAGTGGCATTATCAGCGAATCATGTGACTGTGGAGAAGTGACCTCTGAACTCCTGGGTGTTACATTGCATCTCATTACTACCGTGCTGACAGTGATTTGTAATTAGTTAGTTTGATACGTGGTGTATGATAAGTACTGCTTCACACAAGAACTTTTACTACTTCTACTAAGTAGTATTGAAATGCCTTTTGTCAGTGTGGAAAACTACCATATGATAATGATCATGATGATCATTTTAAAATGATTTTAATTGTTTAATAATGTTAATAAATAAGCATTGATAAACACTGTTCACATTTAACATGGCCACCTATTTTCATGACCATCAATTTTATTTCTTTTAACATATTTATTTGAATGCTTAAAAACGTAACAAATGTCTTTGATTATTCTTTTTGATAAGTGAGAATGAGATAAACTTTAATGTCACATTGGCAATATCTGAACCTTATCATGTTGTGGGGCATCTTACTGATAAATACCTTACAAGTGATTCTGTGGTTTAATCGACTAACCATGCTAACCAAGGAATATGTTTCGTGTTTGTTTCTATGAAGCTAAAAGAATTAGGTTGCATCCACTAATGGACTACTTTCGTCAGCTTATGTTGCATTATAACACTGAGTCACAGAGTTCATATCTTGTCTGCACTTTCTGTGTTAAAGATAATATAAGGAGTCTTAAAAGTTATTGTTGTTATTTATTTATACAAATTGAAACAATAATTGAAAATATATTGTCAATTCTTAAATGAATACTGGGTAATTTGATACTAGTCAAAGAGGACAGAATTTGTTTCATAGAGTTAAAACTATATGTTGTTTCAAAATAAATGTGCTATTGAGAACCATCTGTCATGGCAAAATCTTCTTAGCTCTGTCTGCAGTCAGCTGGCTACCTATTTCATCTTGTGTGATATTCCATTTCTCATTGACAAGGCTGTCTTCAAATAGACGATGCCTTTTAGAAAGTGGTAAAATGTAACTTGTTATATTTCGGATAACACTTTCTCGTAAAGTCGAATTCTGGTACTTTTTTGGGTGGAGTCCAATTTGGGATTCAAACCTACACTTCAAGACTAAGGCACCTAATTGTCATTACACAAAGTCAGTGACCTAACCCACTCAGCCATCCAGGCTCCCACATCGCTCAGCCATTGAGATTTCCATGAAACAAAACTGGTAGTCTAGATCACATACTTTGAGTAATCCTCGGATACATGTAAATTGGCATGTCCGAAAGCTATGAATAGACATATCATATTTGTCTTTATCTTGTTTTGAAAATCTATTTCTGTATCACTTAAACATACACAATATCACGTTGTGAACATTCTCTATTATTCATTGCCAGATATGTTCGAGAAGAAGAAGAGAGGGAAAGAGAGGCTCTTCTCACAACATCCTTCACCGCCAATGATGACACGTCCATCTTTATTGACGCATCTGTTCAGCATCATAGCCGGCTTCAAAATGCCCACCGAGGGTTGGATGATGCGATTGGCTCCAGCTCTAGTATCTTGGAGAATCTTCGGGATCAGAGAGGTACTCTGAAGGGAGTTCACAAGAAAATTTTGGACATTGCTAACCATCTTGGTTTGACTAATACAGTGATGAGAATTATTGAACGAAGAACTGCTCAAGATAAGATTTTGTTCTTTATTGGTGTCATAGTCACATGTATCATTATGTATCTTGTGTGGAAGTATTTTTCATAAGTCCGTTGTTGCCTGTGAGATATTCCATTGCCATGTCATTCAATCAGAAATAAATTATTGTTGTTAAATGCTTTTTTCTTACATCTGTGTTTGTATTTTTTATTATCAGTACCCAATTGGGATTTTGGTTTGGATAGGTCTCCAGCAACCTACTACCAGGCCACACATTTTTTATTTTTTGTTTCACGGGCCTGCCGTCCCTACAGAAAAGCAGCCAGTCCATGAAATAAATTCAACATGAAAATATTTATTTTTGTTATGTCTCCCACTTGTAATATAGACCCTCTTATGCAACAAAAACTGTTACATATTAATTCCATGTCTATATTACTATCATCAATTCAAAAAGCCAGCTGCAGTTTTACCTCCATGGCGGAACTGTCATAAAATTATATAAATAAATAAATGTTTCATATATCTATTTTAATTTTTATTTCATCTGACCTTGTGCGGAAAATCTTGAATAAATCTGTGAAACATAAAATTTAAAAAAAGTGTGGCCTTAGAGGAAAAACAAAATGGATCTGGTGATCAGGCTCGATGATTTCCTGATTGTGTGGCATTGTATCCTGTAGGTGCAGGAAGCTCCTCATGATATCTATCACTGGTTTGGCTGTTCCAGACTTGATTATTTGCAGGCTAACTTGATACTGCTGCAATAATCATATCAGAGTTAAGCAAAAAATATCCATAACTAAGGCTAGCCCCATGACATGGCTGATTGCTGGTCATCGTACCCCAATAGTGTGGACCCTTGCTAAGGCTAGCCCCATGACATGGCTGATAGCTGGTCATCGTACCCCAATAGTGTGGACACTTGCTAAGGCTAGCCCCATGACATGGCTGATTGCTGGTCATCGTACCCCAATAGTGTGGACCCTTGCTAAGGCTAGCCCCATGACATGGCTGATAGCTGGTCATCGTACCCCAATAGTGTGGACCCTTGCTAAGGCTAGCCCCATGACATGGCTGATAGCTGGTCATCGTACCCCAATAGTGTGGACCCTTGTTCATGTTTTCAGTGACTGGTTTATCTGGTCCAGACTCAAGTATACACAGGCTGTCATCGAATATTGTGATTACTGGCAAAGAATCCTATTCACTCACCTACTCAGAGGAAATGAAGCAATGCTTAGTTTCAAAGTATGTGTTTCAAAGTACATGTGACTAAAATGATGTCATACAAGAGGTCAAGGCATTGACGTCACTGTATGGATATGTAATGTTAGCATGGTTTGATGTCTGATGTTACTGGTTTGGTTTTTTTTATATATTTTATTCATTGTTCGTCTGGTTTTCAATTTGTCTAAATATAACTAAAAGTACTCCATGATGTTTTCGGAGTAAAATCAGTGTTAGAATTTCCCTCCTTGTCAGATTTGAGAAAGAAATGCTTTCAAAGAAATATTTTCTTGTTCAGTGATCAATGAAATGATGATCTAACAATTGTTGACATTAAGCATATATTGCACGCAGATGAAGGATCCAAAGTTGTGATGATAGAATTCTAGTTTCTATAGGTCAAAGGCCCGGGTCAGTCTGAAGCACTGCCCCTATACATGCTGTAGGGATGGACAAATGGTTCATGGTTACATGAGGGCACCCAAGGGCTGCCTATTCTTCAGAGGGGCACCAGAAAGTATCAGGGTTCAACATTGAGGAAGTGAAAATATGTGATTTTGTTACTTTGAAATCCTAGTGTTTATTGAAAGTAACAGTGATGATTCATCTGTAAAGGTTCATGAACATCAAAATACATATAGAGCCTTGTGAACCCTTGAACCAAGATGCTGTTCTTTTGTCCTCCCACTGGCAAGGTGACCTGCATCATGCTACCACAGTTTGGAGTAGGCTGCTTCTGCCCCCACTCCATCCACACACATGACCCCACACACTACATGAAGACACTCATCTTGTAGCTCTAGGATCATGAGGGCTCCTACCAATGTACAATCTTAGATAGGTGAGTCGAAAGTTATATGTGGGCAGGTGCTGTCCTTTCTTCCGTGATGGCACATAATCCTATGCACATCCCATGTCACATTGTTTGATAGGCATGACTTAGAAGTTGACATATGACAAGGTAGACACAAATTTATGGATAACAACTTCTTTAATACTGTGTGTTTCAGTATAGATCCTTATACCGTTGTCAAGCAAGACTGAATGAGGGACATATTACAGAATATTTAGTATGTGGAGGGTTAACAGTAACAACAATTGCATACATGAGTGGGATAACATTGGTAGGTGTTGACAACAAAGGGATGATGCTGTCACAACACGATGGACAGAGAACACATAGGTGGAAGCCAATAGGGACATGAAGCCAATAAACAGGATAAGTGATTATTGCTTGATGAGTTCATAGTAGGCGGATGGGATGAAATAACCTTGATCTCTGTTGATTGATGGCTTGTGGCGGCGAATGTGGACTGCTTCTGTTAGTTTTCTTTTAGTGAAATTATGGAGGTTGTTGCCGAGGATTTGGATGTTGTCCCAGTTGATGTTGTGATTGGGACAGTTGCTGATATGGTAAGAGATGGCTGATTTGCTGTCGGATTAAATGGTGCAGGTTTTGTGCTCTTTCATTCTGGTGTTGATTGGGCGGGATGTTTCACCTACGAAAGATTGTCCACAGTTGCAGTCAATTTTGTGTAGTTTACAAAACGTCGCTTTTCACAGTATTAAAGAAGTTGTTATCCATAAAATTGTGTCTACCTTGTCTACACATGCCACAGACACCTATAATTCAAATGCTAGACGGCAAAAACCTGAAACAATCACAAAACGCTATTCTGCTTATACATTTGTCTTCAATAAGACAATGGTAAACTGATTTACATGTCAATGAACTAATTATGTAGTTTAGTCTAAGTGAATGTCTGCAATGTGAAAATATAGCAGGAAACCCCAACTGGGCCTTCTGTTTACACTCCTCTTACAACTGACAACCCAAACCAGATTATAATGATGTCCACAAATTTCAAATGTTTCCTTTTTGAAAAGAATACTAATCATGGCACATTGCAGGTGTGCATCAGTCATGGCAGGATGCAGGTGTCATGGCAGTATACAGGTGTCATGGCAGTATGCAGGTGTAATGGCAGGATACAGGTGTCATGGCAGTGCACAGGTGTCATGGCAGTACACAGGTGTCATTACAGGATACAGGTGTCATGGCAGTACACAGGTGTCATGGCAGTATACAGGTGTCATGGCAGTACACAGGTGTCATGGCAGTGAACAGGTGTCATGGCAGTACACAGGTGTCATGGCAGGATACAGGTGTCGTGGCAGAATGCAGGTGTCATGGCAGTATGCAGGTGTCATGGCAGGATACAGGTGTCATGGCAGGATACAGGTGTCATGGCAGTACACAGGTGTCATGGCAGTACACAGGTGTCATGGCAGTATACAGGTGTCATGGCAGTATACAGGTGTCATGGCAGTATACAGGTGTGCTAGCATGGCAGTATACAGGTGGCATGGCAGTATACAGGTGGCATGGCAGTATACAGGTGGCATGGCAGTATACAGGTGTGCTAGCATGGCAGTATACAGGTGTAATGGCAGTATACAGGTGTGCTAGCATGGCAGTATACAGGTGGCATGGCAGTACACAGGTGTGCTGGCATGGCAGTATACAGGTGTGTATCTCATGGCAGTATATAGATGCAGGTGGGTGGAGTGTGTCATGTGACACAGTTACTGAGGGTGTCAAGATATATTTCTTTACTAATTATGTTTATGAATAAATGCAATATGTTATGTATACAATTTACAAAATGATGTTTCTTGTTTCCTACTGTCCCTCTATTTGGATTAACTGTTTGTACTAGACAAGTCCCTACCATGAAACACAGTTGTTCAATGGTGTTTCAGTATCTTGTTTCAATGAACATGAGGTACACTGTCACTGAAATCACCACTGGTGTTGTACATCAGATACATCATTTGGCAGAGCCTCGAACTTGCACGATCATTATTGACATTGACAATGATACCGGTAATATATTTTGTAATAGTCATGTTGTTATGATTGAACATAAGAGGTACAAATTGCAGATATGTATTTGAACGTAATAGCTGACATGATTTAGTATTAAGGCGACACAGATCTGAGATCAAATTGAAATAGTTCATTATCTTTTGTTTGCCCCTTTGATCCATCTCTGCAATAGAATAATAACAAGATACAACACAAATACTTCAAAATTAAACCTGTGAAGATCCAGGGTAGAATAGGTCTTCATCAACCCATGCTTGTCGTAAAAGGCGGCTATGCTTGTCGTAAGAGGCGACTAACGGGATCGGGTGGTCAGGCTCGCTGACTTGGTTGAAGCATGTTATCGATCCCAATCGTGTGGATCGATGCTTATGATATTAATCACTGGATTGTCTGGTCCAGACTCGATTATTTACAGACCGCTGTCATATAGCTGGAATATTGCTGAGTGCAGCATAAAACAACAAACAAAATTAAAGAAACTGATAATGGTTTAGTTACCACTGCAAACCTCTATAAGGATTAAAAGACTCCTTCTTGCAATTTAAACAATACTCGCATTATGGTTCGCCACAAAATTAACCAACCCAAACAGATTTATGACTAAAACAATTATTATTGATATTTTTAATCTACAACAATATAGTTCATTGTCATAATGACCATACAAATGTATTGGTCAGCAACAAATCTGTAGACACAAAAAATAATTGTGGCCCAGGGTTCAGAAAGTTTGGGCTTAAAAAAACTTTAGAAAGGATATTGGTTATATCACAGTGTGTCAGCTTGTGGGAGAAAAGTCTAACTGATGCAGGTCTTAGAGGTTTACCACTTAGGTGAAACCCAGGTTGGTTGGTTGGTTGGTTTGTTGTTTAACGCCGCACTCAGCAATATTCCAGCTATATGACGGCGGTCTGCAAATAATCGAGTCTGGACCAGACAATCCAGTGATTAATATCATGAGCATCCATCCACGCAATTGGGATCGATGACATGCATCAACCAAGTCAGCGAGCCTGACCACCTGATCCCGTTAGTCGCCTTTTACGACAAGCATAGTCGCCTTTTACGGCAAGAATTGGTTGCTGAAATCCTATTCTACCCCGGATCTTCACGGGTGAAACCCAGGAGCATGGGTATGATGCTGACAAACCTAGAAACATAATCGGGGGACTGAAAGGATGCAAAACTGCAGGTCGAAGTTCAGGTCCTTAGATGAGAGGGCCACCCATGCCTCCTGGGTTGGTTGAAATCATTGAAAGATGGAATGTTTTACCAAAGATGAACACAGCAGGATTTAATTTATTTGTATCAAAATGTCTTGGAGAAATGTGGAACATATAGTCGATAAATGAGTAGGTGTTATACTGTTTTGAGATATCTTTATTCGACATAACAAATGATGGAGATCTGGAACACAGAACAGGAAACAGAACATGCAACACATGATTGTATCATGTAAATGTACATAATCCTCTAGTCATGATGGCGATTAGGTGCCTCTCTGGCAGTGTGGGTTAGAATCCCAGATGGGACTCAACCCAAAACGTACCAGAATCTGTACTTTACTAAGAAAGTGTTATCTTAAATATAACATTTGTTACAATAGACCTCCTTCTATATGGCATTAAGACCGCCTCCGTGGTCTTGTGGTAGAGCGTCCGCCCGGAGAGCGGAAGGTCCAGGGTTCGATCCCGGGCCGCGTCATACAAAAAGACGTTAAAAGATTGTACTTGTTGTTACCCTGTCTGGCGCTCGGCATTAAGGGGCTAAAACAAGGACTGGTCGGCTCGGAGTCAGTATACTGTGTCTGAGTGGGGTATTCATGTTAAACTGCGGCATGGTATCTCAGTGAGCTAGCACTATAAATCGGCATCAGTCCGGACTAGTACAAGCAGCCACACACACACATACACGTGCATGCACGTCGCTATATAAGTGCAATAATCTTGGACGTGACGTTAAACCCAATTTCACCTCACCTATATGGCATTGTGTGTTCATAGCTTTCGGCCATGGGATCCATACCAATTTCCAATTGTCAGAGGGGTACACAAAGTACGTGGTCTAAAATACCATTTGTCGGACTTCCATTGTGGAAGCCTCGGTGGCTGAGTGGGGTAGATCTCTGACTTTGTGTGCTGGCAATTAGGTGCCTCACTCTAACAGTGTGGGTTCGAATCCCAGATAGGACTCAACCCCAAATTACTAGAATGTGTACTTTACTAAGAAAGTGTTATCCCAAATATAACATTTGTTATAGTCATGATATTGATAGTAGCTAAGGTGTAATTTCAATACGAAAAATAGTACAGCGATGAGTTTTTAGGGTCAGCGAGTAGTGTACACATCACCATTGGTGTGGCATGTTTAACTGTGTATATATTGCACCTGCTCTGTATCATTAATGTATCCTAATTAGGGTTGCGACGGGTACTCGAGTACCCAATAACGGGTCGGTAGCTTAGTACTCGAGTCCAATTTTCTGGACTCGAGTACCCGTTCAGGGGAGATAACTCTAATCGCCTTTCGTAACTCGTAAGTCACTTCAAAATGGACGACAAAGCGGACAAACGTTCAAATGTGTGGGCGTATTTTGACCTTGATGACACAAAGAAAAGACCAAATGCCGTCTCTGTGGCATATGTATCAGGTAGGCAGGTAGTTCGACGAGTTCCATGAAAAAGCATCTAAGTTTTAAACACGAGCATTTACTTTGATATTCTGTGTCACTTGTGTTTTTAGGTAAGCCATGCAGGCATTTAATTAAAAACATAATACCTTAGAATAGATCAATAGATGTTTGATGACCTTTTATTCGCAAAAGCATTACAAACAAGTGGGACAACATTGAACTACGGGTACTCGAGTCCGGTGCGGGTATTGTCTGCCGGGTACTCGAGTTCAGTTTTCGTACCCGGTCGCAACCCTAATCCTCATGGTATGTACATGATAATAACGATGCTGATTAAACAAATGCCTTTTAATGACCATGTGGTACTTTTTGTTATATTTGCTTTATGTGGCACTGTTTGCTAAATTTATGATGTGATAAAACTGTATCTGAATATCGGATGTTAAATTCAGCTAATGTGACGCTATTGTTACGTTTAAAAATATATAAAATTGTATTTGATGCACCACAAAAGCCAATGAATTATCAGCTTATCTACTATGTCGGATGATGGATGGAAATAAATTACTTACTTTACATTAACTTTTATTCATAAACTTTATTTTATGTAAATATATCCCTGTCCATTTTGAAATCTTTTTTCTCATTTTTTTTATTCAACAAAACATTTATACGAAATTCATGTAAAGCCATATATGCATGTGCATTACCAGAGACAACATGGACATCCATCAGAAAATGTTGACCACGCCCCACTGTAAATGGTGAAATGTGAGTATTTGTTGTCATTATGTCATTATGTCATTATGTCAACCCTGAAAATGGACACAGAAAATATTGTTTAGCGACATTCCAATATGTACACTACTAGAGTTGTCTTATTACCAGACGACTTAATTATTAGGGTTGTAGACAATGACTTGCAGAAATGTATTTACGACAACAACACTTGCGTAACATTTCATAGTCAAAATTTTATCAGTTAGATACAACGATTACCATGTTCACAAATTGAGGCTAAGTTTGACGGCTGTAGAAGGTGACTGTGCAGGTTTTAGCCAGTCGTACGCGAAGCAGTGTACCCCCCGTTTCTGAGGAGATGGACTCTTCCAAGCACCTGCTTCGCGTCGTTGTTTGATTGGGAGAGCAGCCAGGTCAAGCAGACGAAACCAGGAAATGATGGGGATGCCTGCAGCGCGTGTTTTGCAATTATGTTTGGTGTCTTTGCTTTTAATTGCAGAATGCTTTGCGAAGAACCAAGATAAAGTTCAAATTGTTGTCGAGGTATGAAAGAAATGCATTCGGCCTATAGCACATTCGCTATCAAACACACGTCTCGCTCGTAATAGGTTCCGTAAACCATATATAGTATAATCGCTAAGATTATAAGTAGTACGTTTCCATTCCTGTAACTGCAATTTCGGTTTTATGAAATAAGTTTGTTTGTGTTTCATAATTGCGACTGTGTAATTTGTTGCACGAAAAGTGTATAATGATACTTCTCGGTGGAATGTCTTGTAACATGTGTAATGCGTGTGTTTAATTATATAAACAGAGGACTAATGACTACGGTCGTATATTAATATGGGAATGTAGATAAGAAATGGTGACACGTGCATACATGAACATGCTGATCAAAGAGATACATAATCCATTGATAAATGTCTGTCGAGAAAGTTGTTTGTAACTCATATGAATCGAAATCATAAATGAATCAAAAGAATAATTTGTGAACGTGAAACCAACTGATCGAGGTAAGATGAAATGATTTGAAATGTGCATGTATTTTACAGCCTATAATAATAACACAAATATGTGTCTTTTTTTCTGAAGAATTGCAAACATTAAGGAATATTTCATGCAAATATTTGTGTAACATTTGTGGTCAACATTTTCTGCTGGATGTCCATGTTGTCTCTGGTAATGCACATGCATATATGGCTTTACATGAATTCGTATAAAAAGTTTTGTTGAATAAAATATGTGATATTTCAGAAATAGTTTCATCAGATTGTTTTGTAAAGGAAGGAAAAATTGAAATCCCAAGGGTAGTGATGTACTAGTGTAATCATGTGTCTATATTCCTGAATCATAAGTGTTATTAAAGACGTATAGGCCTATACGTTGTGGTGTGGTGTTATGTAATTTGTAACAATCCACATTGTTTGTTTCTCCAGTCTGCTGTTTGTTCAGTGTGGAACTTCCTGTAATAGTGCCCCACCTTTCATGAACAACCCCACGTCCAACTGTAGTTAAATTTAAACACCCCATCCCCCAACACACATTACATAAGACTGTTGCAATATTTCTACTTATAAAAGAGAGAAACTATCATGCTTGGATCAAGCCATAATGCTTTAAAACAAAATACAGGTCTCTTAAGGGTCGAGTCACCTGAAACTAAGGGGGCACGGGTGGCCCAGTCGTCTAAGGCACCGCAATTCGCTGTGCAGAGTTGCGTCCCTTGGGCACGCCAGAAACCTATGATTGTGGGTTCGAATCCCGGTTCGCCCAGATTATGTTTCTAGGTTTGTCAGCACCATACCCATGCTCGTTGGTTTCACAGAAGTGGTAAACGTCTGAGACCTGCATCACTTCGGGCTTTCCTCCCACATTAAGCTGACACGCCATGATATAACTGGAATACTGTTAAAAGCGGCGTAAAACCAAACTCACTCACTCACCTGAAACTAATGATATCCGTGTTACATTTGAATACCATACAGTTTACTATACTGCTTTCCTTTGACTTGTTTGTGATGTAACACAGACAATTGATTGATGTCAACACTCAAAATGCATCCTCCTACCTCAGTATCAATCTCATTAAAACTCACTTAGTTCTCGCTATCACTAAACAAAGATCTGAGGACATCCCATTACGGGTCTGGTCACAATGACCTTGTGCGAACTTTGACCGACCAATTGAATGACAAATCAGAAGGCAGCTTTCTCGTGCTATACGGCACTATTTTCAAATTGGCGACAACGCTTCGAAACATATTTTGACAAATTCTCGATTAAAAATTTGAAAGCTGAACAAACGAACATTCTGGAATCGCTAATAGATGGTCTAGATTGTATGTATTCAGTCGTTAAACCCATAACAATTTTTCAGAACACCCTGTGTTAAAGTTTTCGAGGATGCATGATTAAAAATCACTTTCCAACTGTCACTTTCATGATCTGGTAAGCGATGCTCTGATTGGTCGGATGAAAGGTCGTTCTGACGTGACCTCTACTGGGATGTCCTCAGATCTTTGTTTAGCGGTAGGGAGAACTAAGGTCTGATATTGAGATTGACCTCAGTATACACTATACAAGTAAACCTGACATGTAATACGAACCAAAATCAACATTTAGGGTTTATGATTTCAAGTCAAGTATTCAAGACATATATTACTGTTGTCTTAACTCATTCTGACATTTCATGTTGAAAAAAATGTTTTTTGTCTTCTTCTTTTTCATGTTTATTTTTTTTTAAATTTGAAATATACTTGTGCATGATTATATGCAGATAGTTTTAGCCAGGTGAGCTACATAGCTCAGGGCTCAATACATGTTCTACTTGTTTCATGTTGAAACATTGTGACCTTCTGTTTGTCCAGAGGATGCCAGAGGACTGTCCCCAGATGGCAGGAGATGGAGACCAAGTGACAGTCCATTACACTGTAAGCTATTTGATTGGTCGACAGCCTCATGCTATAGGGTGGACACCTAGGAACCATGAGTGGTTGCACGATTAAACTTTACCACGTTTAATCACCTGGCCAGTCACTTTACAATACAACCAAACTTATCGGTCTTCACAATATAATTCAACGTAATAAGCCCCCAGGGTGCTCTCAAAATTAGAAATAGGGGGCTCACATTAGAATAAAATTTTGGTGAAAAAAAGTGTTGAAAGATCGTAAATTTCGTGGTTTATGCTGACAGCCTGAAATGATGCAAAAGGAAGGTCTGTGCGTAATATACACGACCGATATATTTTTCCAGAATTTAATTGCCCATGATTAGGGGTGCATATAACACACAAGTGCGTATTATACACAAATAAATAGGTCTTGTGTACATTGATCAATCGGAAGGGGCACTTATTGGGATTTTTCACAAGCCAATATATCAGAAAATATCGCTGTGGGCGCTTGTTACGTTGAATACGGTAAGCCTGAAAGTAATGTGGCCCTTTTCATGTCTGCTTCTAGATGCTTAAAGTGAAGGGGGGTCCCCAGATTCAAATACTAGAGCACCAAATCGCAAGGATCCCAGGACACACTTTTAATTTTTTTATCCACTAAATTTTGTAAATGACAAAGAAAAACTGTGGTCTGTGAGATAAGCATGTCAGACTTTTCATATTTATTTTGAGCGGTCGGGTGGCCTAGTGGTAACAACGTTTGCTCAACACTCTGAAGACCAGGGTTCGATTCCTGACATGTGTACAATGTTTGAAGCCCATTTCTGGTGTCCCTGCCGTGATATTGCTGGAATATTGCTAAAAGCGGTGTAAAACCAAACTCACTCACTCATATTCATTTAAATTTTTCGAACATCATCTCCAAGGTAAGTGAGAGATAGGAACAATAGAAAGGAAACAAAGCTTTGGTGGAGAATGGGTCCAGGGTATTTAATCACAGTTGAATGGAGATATGGGCGACTAGATAATCGAGGGTATCCTAACACTGGTATCATGGAAAATGCTCACAGATCCAACGTATCCAACCTATTTGAAGAATGTCCATATTGAAAACGTAACTGTTCTGCTACTCGGACGGTTATTTCTGTATCCTTGGCTTGGCTGATTATGTGTCATCCATTTGTGTGGATCGATGGTCATGCTTTCAGTCACTGGTGTGCCTGGTCTAGACTCCATTATGGGGGCACGGGTGGCCCAGTCGTCTAAGGCGCCGCGATTCGCTGTGCAGAGTTGCGTCCCTTGGGCATGCCAGAAACCTATGATTGTGGGTTCGAATCCCGGTTCGCCCAGATTATGTTTCTAGGTTTGTCAGCATCATACCCGTGCTCGTGTGTTTCACTGAAGTGGTAAACGTCTGAGACCTGCATCACTTCGGGCTTTCCTCCAACATTAAGCTGACACGCTGTGATATAACTGGAATATTGTTAAAAGCGGCGTTAAACCCAACTCACTCACTCACTCACTAGACTTCATTATCTATGAGCTGTCATGATCATAGTGATATTTGAGTTAATATTTGCCATCACTTCCGCAATATTTCCGCCATATCGTGACGATTAGTTAAACATTAATGATACATATATTTAGACTAAATAAAAGCCTGTCATTGATGGACAGTACGATAACTAGATTATCACAGATTTAAATTAAAAACTAGTTGAGAACATGTAAAAGAAGAAAGTCTAGTCAACAACACAATATAGAAATGGTCTGTACATTGCTAGTCACTAAAGGGAGATCACCATACCATGGGGACTTGCAGTACCTTTGCCTCGTGCATGGACCCTAGCAGAATTTTTATCATCCCTTCAGTCACAGGCGACAGTTTACCACTTAAGCCAAGGATTAAAATGACTAAGGCATGCATAAAAACACTTCAAATGATGTGGAACTTACATACCCTTTTAGGGGGGACAATAATCTTCCGCTACTTCAACCCCCATCATGGGTACAGCCTCTAACAATCTAAGTTACTAATTAGCTCTACCACTTTATAAAAAAACACTCCATGTATATCAACATTTATTAATTAATTCTAGTTTGTTTAAAAAGCACAATATTAAATGAGAATTTACATGACTAAAAAGGTCCTTGACTGTTTTTACACTGAAATATTTATCCCTTGTGATGGAAAATGATATACCTGAAGAAGTGCTTAAAGTTGTAGTAAGTGCGGTCGGGTAGCCTAGTGGTTAAAGCGTTCGCTCGTCACGCTGAAGACCCGGGTTCGATTCCCGACATGGGTACATGTGTGAAGCCCATTTCTGGTGTCCCCCGCCGTGATATTGCTGGAATATTGCTAAAAGCAGGGTAAAACCAAACTCACTCACTCACTCACTAAAGTTGTATTAAACAACACTTACTCAGCGTACAGCAAGTGTGTATGTTGTGTAAAATAAATACATTACTAGCATGATTTGATTTAGTACCCTGTGTCTGCATTCAATTGAAAAAAATGTCAGTATTGTTAATGTTACATAAAATGTGTGAGGTTACATAAAATGTGTGAGGTTCATTTTGTCTGTCAAAATTAATATTGTCTGGTTTGAAATTATTTGAATCAATTCTTTCAAAGATTGTTGCATTTGAATTTCAGGGATACTTAGAGTCTGGAGCAGTGTTTGATTCCTCCGTCCAACAGAAAAGGGATCCAATAGCCTTTGTCCTGGGGAGCCATCAGGTTATTCCAGGTAGGTGGGAGTGCAAGGTTACCTAATAGCCTTGGGGAGCCATCAGGTTATACGTGGTAGGTGGGAGTGCAAGGGGCCCAATAGCCTTTGTCCTCTTTGTCCTTGGTAGTCATCAGGTTATTCCAGGTAGGTGGGAGTGCAAGGGGCCCAATAGATTTTGTCCTCTTTGTCCTTGGGAGTCATCGGGTTATTCCAGGTAGGTGGGAGTGCAAGGGACCCAATAGCCTTTGTCCTGGGGAGCCATCAGATTATTCCAGGTAGGTGGGAGTGCAAGGGGCCCAATAGCTTTTGTCCTCTTTGTCCTTGGGAGTAATCAGGTTATTCCAGGTAGGTGGGAGTGCAAGGGACCCAATAGCCTTTGTCCTGGGGAGCCATCAGATTATTCCAGGTAGGTAGGAGTGCAAGGGACCCAATAGCCTTTGTCCTGGGGAGCCATCAGATTATTCCAGGTAGGTGGGAGTGCAAGGGACCCAATAGCCTTTGTCCTGGGGAGCCATCCAGGTAGGTGGGAGTCTTCTGGTCATAAACCAGTGAGAATGGTTTCCATGCTGGAATATTGCAGACTGGCAGAATACATCCATTCACCCACTCAGTGTTAACGTCATAGACTAGGGCACAGCTGTAATGGATATGATTGATAACTGTCAAAATGGTAAGGGTTTACACACAAAAAAATACAGAAAAGATTGCGATATGGATCTTCCAGCCCTTTGCCATGATTCTGAATGTCAGTGAGTTGAACCAGCACGCCAAAGAGCGAGCCAATGACACTCTGGGCTGGCATCGTCTGGTATTGTTCCAAGAAAGGTTATAACCATTATGTGCCAGAAACATTACACATTTTATAGGGAAAATACCCATCTTAATAGTAAGAATATGTGTCTCAATAGTAACAATACACATCTTAATAGTAACCATACATATCTTAATAGTAACAATACACATCTCAATAGTAACCATACATATCTTAATAGTAACCATACATATCTTAATAGTAACCATACATATCTTAATAGTAACAATATATATATCTTAATAGTAACAATACATATCTAAATAGTAACAATACACATCTCAATAGTAACCATACATATCTTAATAGTAACCATACATATCTTAATAGTAACAATATATATATCTTAATAGTAACAATACATATCTTAATAGTAACAATACACATCTCAATAGTAACCATACATATCTTAATAGTAACCATACACATCTCAATAGTAACAATATATATCTTAAAAGTAACGATACATATCTTAATAGTAACTACTCATCTTAATAGTTACCATACATATCTTAATAGTAACAATACACATCTCAATAGTAACAATATATATCTTAAAAGTAACGATACATATCTTAATGTTTGTTTGTTGTTTAACGCCGCACTCAGAAGTATTCCAGCTGTATGACGGCGGTCTGTAAATAATCGAGTCTGGACAAGACAATCCAGTGATTGATATCATGAGCATCAATCTTATGACAAGCATGGGTTGCTGAAGACCAATTCTAACCTGGATCCTCACGGGTCACATATCTTAATTGTAACAATACCATCTTAATAGTAACAATACATGTCTTAATAATAATGATACACATCTCAATTGTAACAAAACATATCTCAATAGTAACAATACATATCTCAATAGTAACAATTCACATCTCAGTAACAACACATCTTACTGTAACAGGACATATCTCAATAGTAATGGTAAATGTCTCATTTGTTACGATACTTATATCATTAGTAGTTGGTTGGTTGGTTTGTTGTTTAACGCAGCACTCAGCAATATTCCAGATATATGACGGCGGTCTGTAAATAATGGATTCTGAACCAGACAATACGGTGATTAATATCATGAGTATCAATCCACACAATTAGGATACGATGACATGTATCAACCAAGTCAGCTAGTCTGACCAACCAATCCCGTTAGTCACCTCTTACGACAAGCATAGCTGCCTTTTATGGCAAGCCTGGGTTGCTGAAGACCTATTCTACCCCGGATCTTCACGGGTCATATCAATAGTAAGGCCATGGCATGAAAAGCCGACATTTACCATGCAAGAAGACATATTCCACTATCAATGGGAATGATGCCCAACATATTCAGTGAATTGTTACTACAGTGTTCATCATTGTGGAGTAAGACTCTGATACTCTTATTCTTTCAGGCTGGGAAGAGGGACTTCAAGGAATGTGTGTTGGGTATGTATTGCACTTGTATATTGCTTTCATAAATAACCTTACCGGGAATGCACTTTTTTTAACTCTCCTTTTTTAGCCCATGGGCTTAAATTTTGTGTGATTCTCACCCAAATTTGGTAGTTTAAAACGTGTTAATTGACAGTATTGCATAACTGGAATTAAATACATGCATTCCAGGTATATTGTATTGCTTCCATCTTAATAGGTACAGTAGCGGTTAAGTTGCCTCCTCATGATACATTGACACAAACAATATGGTCATGGTATGAAATATCCCATTGTCCTATCTCTAGGGGACGCTTTTTCAGTCATTATGAAAATATTGGGTCAGATTCTACAACATCGTAGTGTTTTAATGGATAAGTTGAATGGAGTTGTCTTAAACAAAAATCCCACCATATATAATATGGTACTGAATTCAGAGTTATATCATGTCAATCCAAGACTGCTAGTTTGATGTCTGATCAGAATCGTAAACCTTCAAGTTTTCCATGTGACGATTTATTTTTTCAGGGATTTATAAGCTACAAGTCAACAGAAAAAACCCATCTCATTGTCACATTTTTACTCTGAAATGAACTTAACTTTTGCATGAAAACAAGATTAGATACCATAACGATTGTGCCAGTTAAAAAATCCCCCTTGCATGGCGTTTTAGTGTTGCTCCACTTGTTCTTGTACATGCACTCATTTGTCAGTTAACTCTTTTATCCGCCCCTGTTGGGATGTGGTCTTATGAACCTACTGTCACTTTCGCCTTTAGTGAGTGAGTTAGTTGGGTTTAACGCCGCTTTTAACAGCATTCCAGTTATATCACGGCATGTCAGCTTAATGTGGGAGGAAAGCCCGAAGTGATGCAGGTCTCAGATGTTTACCACTTCGGTGAAACCCACGAGCACGGGTATGGTGCTGACAAACCTAGAAACATAATCGGGGCGAACCGGGATTCGAACCCACAATCATAGGTTTCTGGCGTGCTCAAGGGACGCAACTCTGCACAGCGAATCGCAGCCCCATAGACGACTGGGCCACCTGGGCCACCCGTGCCCCCCTTTGCCATTAGTATTGTGGGTTTCATAGTAACCTTGTAAGAGGTACTACTTTCAATGGAAACCTGCTTGGAGGTTTTACTTTTGAATTGTAAGCCTGATGTTTTAAAGTTGAATAATATGCCTTTTAACATGCATCTAATGTTGATTTTTGAGTGGTTGAAAGTCACAATTTTTTGCACATAATGTGAATGGAACCTGCAACCTGAACTCAAGTTTTGTATTGTAACCCACGGAGCCAGGGCAGGTGTTCAATCTTACATGTCATGTCTTCAGTTGTGTGTATGCTGAACATGGTCTTTCTCTCACCCACCATCATCTAATTTGTTAATACTATGACAGCTGTATTGTTACACTATGAGGTAACCCAAATTTTCTTAATCTTTCTGGTATTTCTTGCATTTAGATGGTTCATAAGTCAGTTGACGCTCTTCTCTGTGGCATACTCAATTCTGATTGATCTTTGTGAAACAGATGTTTTTCCATTCCCTCCCCAAAATGGGTTATTTTCTCGAAACCCCATAATGATTCTCCCAATTTGCAATGAAGATTCAAGTTTACCTGTGTGCAGGTCTACTGAATTGCCCTGAAACACTACCAGTTGTCAATGCAAGTTGTATTCGTCGGTCTCACAGTCCCTGAACAGTATTATTTTCCCTTCCGCCCAGCCCTAACTGTTATGCCATAGCTCTAAATGATCAAGTCTTGATTTTCCATTGGTTCGTCTCATCTGGAGCTCCTTTTCAATTAATTGTACTGGCTTGTTTCTATCAAAATTACATATTTTTGGTGTCTGTAACTTGTGTTTGATGGGTTTGTATTGGTTATTTATTTGTTTCAGTGAGAAGAGGAAGCTGGTTATACCACCAAACTTGGCTTATGGACCTAAGGGACATCCCCCTGTCATACCTCGTAAGAATTGGATTCCTCCTGTTGTTTAGATTTAGATTTATGTTTGTTGAACTGAACTGGTAACAGGACTGACTCGACATACTAGGTCATGTTATGTGTTCTCAAAAGAAATGAAGAACTATGACTATGATTAATGTGTCATGCCACGTGTAATCACAATATAGTCTCATAAAATCAGGGTTTGTAAAGATTAGTTCAGAGGACTAGTGTAAACCTTATTTCCCTAGACCTCAGAATTTTTAACTATTCCTGCTTGAATGAAACAAAAATGTTTACTCTGTTTGAATTTTTTATCAGTTTTATTTAATTCCAATTCATGGCAAAAGTGAAGCATTGAGAGCTGGTTCAGAATTATAGCGTTCAAATACTACCAGTACTATAAGGGTAACAGTTTTTTTCAGGGCATTATCATTTGCAGAAGCCAGAGGTCTTCCATTAATTGCCCGACAAAGGAGGGCAGTTGAAAAGACCAAGGGCTTCTGCAAATGATAATGCCCTGAAAAATAGCGTTACCTCTATTATAGCTAAAAACGATGGAATTTGTTATCAAATAAAAAGAAACAATAATATATGTCACTGACCCACCTTTACAAATATGGAAACCAGATGACATCACTATGAATGTGACGTCGCCTGTCGTGTGTGTGTGTGTGTGTGTGTGTGGGGAGGGGGGGGTGGATGGATGCATGTGTAAACACGCACTTAAGCGTAAGGCACACTTTTGTCAAATATGTCATAATTAGATGACATCACCTACTAGTGATGTCTCTGGATGTGAAACCAGACTTGGAATTTCACACTATTAATATTTTTGTGGATGTACATATATGTTGACAATTCATCAGACAGAATAATAAACTTTGCATGACTGATCATGGCAATGGTTTGATCAGGAGAATTTTTTAAGAGAATTCTGGTCTATTAGTTTTTTATTTTGTCAAAGGCAGTCATATTATTATGTTCTTTTTGCCTGTTGTGATATTATGTGCTAATGATGCCATGTCAGCTATGATGAAACTGTCGTTTTGCTTTATTATTTGCAATTTCCTCACAATAATATGCACCCTGAGTGCTTAGAAAATAGGAAAACGGGACACATATTTGAAGAGGCGGTCGGGTAGCTTAGTGGTTAAAGCATTCGCTCATTACGTCGAATACCTGGGTTTGATTCCCGACATGTGTACAGTGTGTGAAGCCCATTTCTTGTGTTCCCCGCCGTGATATTTCTTGAATATTGCTAAAAGCGGCGTCAAACCAAATTCGCTCACACACTCACTCACACATATTGGAACCGAACAGGGATTAAATTTGTTAGCTCAAATGTTGATGAAACTAAAACGTTGTCAATCATAGTTACTAATTATATACCCTTTCTTTGTTGATGTTTTCTGTAACGAAATGTATAATATACACCGTCATGAAATCATGAACTGTCATGTACCTTTTTGATCCTAGTGGACCATGCCTATAAAGGTTACTTACAAGTTGGTCTAGAAGTTGGTCATGGGGCACTTATTAAAACAGGGAGTTTAATATGGCAAATATGATATATTAATGAATTATTTAATGCGTGTCTATGTTGTGAAAAAAATGTTGCTGTTTTCATTTTCGCCTTCATTGTCAGACACTTTATGACCTTGATGACACCAATGTAAAATAATATGATCTGGAAATGTCCCAAGGTTAAGTTGAGCTTCAGAGCCTCATGCCCTTTGTGTGATGTGTTCCAGCTGACGCTACTCTGACCTTCGAGACCGAGCTGGTAAGTCTGAAGAAGAAGTCATCTGATGAGTCGATCCTGAAAACGCTCCAGTTCCTGGCAATGCCAGCTCTGGTGTTCTATGTTTTGTATTACCTCTACGACAAGTACAAGAAGGAGACGGCACAAAATACAACTAAAAGTGACAAAGCTAAAGGAAAGAAGAGGAGGTGATAGCTTTTTTTAAATAAAATATGTATTTTTATACATTTTCATGTGTCTGTTGTTAACTTAGTACTTAAACCCGCTTCAGGAAACGCGATATAAGGAGGAGACAGTGTGTGTGGGAAATACAATACAATTGTCAATTTTGAACTGAAGTTATGAATATTTTCTTGAGTTATTTTACATTAGATTGGGGAGAAAAATCAAATAATTGCTGACATTCAACATGCGGACATTGTTACAAGTCGATTCCCAAATTGAAACAATATGTTATCCAAGGAATCTGTATGTAAAAGAATTTAGTGTGAAACCAACAAACAAATTACAACAGTCACTAGGTTTAAAAATTACAATGGCAGTTCACAATAGAGTGGTAGTACAATATTCAATGGCAGTGTAAAATGTTAGAGCAGTGGAAATGAAAATGACAAGAACAATAATCAACTTGATACCAGGGTGAAAAGTGATCTTCATACGAAAGCTGGTCTAGATGTAATGTCATGAAATGTGAGATGAGACAGGGATGCACCCACCCCACTTATCTAGTCTAACTATCTTCCAGTACCTTCTACACAGAGCCAGACCAGTCGCTTGAACATCACAGAATATCCCACATGTTTCTACAACCCTTAACATCCATCCATGCTATTCCAGAAGTTTACAGATGATTCAAGCATCTAAATTTAATAACTTCCTCACCAGTGCTTACATTAAACAGTGCTACATTCTTGACAACTAATCATTGTCCAAATACAATGTTGTCAACTTTAACTGTTTAACAATAAATTACACTGCCATATAACAACATTCAAAACAAACCTAGGGTACCTGCAAAAACATCAGTTTCCCATCAAGCCCATTGTATACTACTCAAAAGGGCAGGAATAGGGTGTTCTTTAACTTCTTTTGAGTAGTATGTAGCAGCATACTCAGATCGTACTCCTGTCAACACTGGTTTGCCCTTCTGCCGGCTGGAATAACATTCACTGGCCAACACATTTACAGAGAAAGCAGCATACAAAGGGCCGACAAAAATATGGGATGGTCACAGTGAGGGAGGCCCTGTCAGTCTAAGGCGTCGCTGTTCAGTTTTGCACCCCTGGGTGTTTCAGAAATCAATTATTGAGGGTTTGAAGCCCAGATTATAATTCTCGGTTTGTCAATGGTAAACATCCAAGAACTTTCCTACTTCCGCATACCACCAGCTGACATGCATTTATACAACGGATGCTGTTCGAAACCAAACTTACTCACAATGACTGTTTCGTAACACTTGAAAGGCTTTCACCAGAAAAAAGAAATATTGGTGGTGACCTATTGTAAGAGGCGACCAACGGGATCGGGTGGTCAGGCTCGCTGACTTGGTTGATGCATGTCATCGTATCCCAAATGCGTGGATCGATGCTCATTATGTCAATCACTGGATTGTCTGGTCCAGACTCGATTATTTACAGACCGTCGTCATATACCTGGAATATTGCTGAGTGCAGCGTTAAACAACAAACAAAAATAAGATATGCCATGATGTGTAGAAGCTCAATCTATTGGAAAATGATCTGTCTGGTCCCGGCTTGATAACTTGATATAGTAAGTCAGGCCAATTGAAGCGGTTTGGTGACCATCAAGTTATAAGGGATGTTCATTACACCTGACAATGCCCAGATGACGTTGAGTATTGTGAAAGGGTGCCTCCTATACGACTGCAATGTGTGAAGCCAATTCTTGGGGTCACCACTGAATACAACATGTCTGGAATATGCTAAAAGGTGACCTGAAACTACCGACTCTCAATCTCTGTGACCGACTTGCGTATCTGTCCGTAAGAACCATGGGTATTCAGTTAGCAAGTTACCATGTACCACCGTCTGAGGCAGATTTGCGGTCTCGATATTTTAATAGGTGCATGTTTGAAAGGTGGAAATTCTCAAGAGTAAGTGGGGTAAATTGTTTCCTTCAAGATGGATATGCATCATGAAAATGATCGAAAGTTAAGTTGGCAGTGTTAATAAACGCTTTTTACGGACTTCAGTCAAACTTGCAATACGGTCATTTTGTTTCTCGAGCCTATTCTCCTTTACATAAACAAACCAGAATCAAACCGTCTAACCTCATTTCGTAAATACAAATCACTGGACTGACCAGAGTATTATTTACAGGCCGCCATCATATCTAGACTATTGCGGAATTAAACAACAAACGAAGAAAAAATAGCTCCTTATAATATTTGTTTTTGGTGATTGCCCTCGTACAAGCAAATCCCATAAAAATATTTTTTTACTCTGATACGATACCTCTCTAGAGTTAAAAGCGTCTTATCAGACAACTCACTCACCCAGGACAAGCATCTTTAAAACCAGTCACTATATGGCTGAAATATTGCCGATGTGACGTAAAATTTTAACTCACACACTTAAAACCAGAGTAAGATCGGAGTAAGTACGTCTAGGGTCGTCATACCAGGGTGAACCTGGCTGGAATGTCTTTCTCAGTGGGGGCGATGGTCCCGAGTTACAGAAGTGCCGGGATGCAATGCACGACTCACTGTATACTGATACGACGCTATGAAGTTAACCTGCAGTTAAGTTACCATTATTATGTACAGAATATGGTATTTAGAAACGTAGTCGAATAAGCATCACCATTGACGTAACTCTGAAACAGCTCGTTTGTTTTTGCAGCGTGTGCTTGATGTTCCAGTGTCCCCGATGTTCTTGAGTTCTCAGAATGCCTCCTAACACTGGAACACGTCGTTAACACAATATCCTGCTTTATTACCGTGTGTCAGCAAAAGTACGAACGTCGAAGACGTTTTCTGCTTTGTTATAAAACACAACTACACAGATACCATGGCCCTGACAAGGTGGCGAGGTCAAAAAGGAGTTAACGACGCGTTCAAAACCATTGCTTACGAGGGGTGGTTGAAACATTCTAACCCCAGTTATGACAGACAGCGTTGATGGAGTTCGTTACTAATTCATTTTTCAATACATTTCATACATTCTGTCAACGATGCTGGAGTGCCTTGATCCACTGGTGTAGAAGGCTTCCTCTTGGTGGTGTAATAGGTCTTCCACAGCAGAAATGACGTCATCGTCATTTTAAAAATGCTTGCCAGACAGTTCCTTCTTCAAGTTTGGCAAGAGATGGAAATCTGACAAATGGGGGATGATGTTCAATGAGTTCAATGAGTTCAAAGCCGTAGTCATGGTGACTAAAGGCTTGTGTACAGGTGCACTGACCTGGTGGAACAACGCACATTTAGGAAGGTTTCCACGGCGTGCAGCCATGCTATTCTCCCGCAGTGACCTGGGCAGATTGGGATAATATTGGCCATTAATTGTTTGGCCTTTCGGGAGGTAGTTCGTCAGTAGGATTCCTTTTGAATACCAGAAAACTGGGACCATTACCTTGTCAGCTGATGGAACAGGTTCTGCCTTGTTCGCACGAGGAGATGTTAGATGTTTCCGTTGCTTTGGCTGTATTTTAGTTACGAGATGATGACAGTGAACCATCGACTCACCCATGGTTACAAATCGCTCAACAAATCAGCTGGGTCTGCTTCAAAACGACGTAAATGTTCACGAGAGATGATGATCCTGAGGCGTTTCTCATCAGGTGTGAGAAGCCTTGGAACCCGATGTGCTGAAACCTTCGTCATCCCCAGTTAATTTCTCAAAAAGTTTTCAACTCTCTCATGAGATGTCGTCGATCATCCACAATCCTATCACGTTTGTTTGTTTGTCGTTTAACGCCGCACTCAGCAATATTCCAGCTTTTTGACGGCGGTCTGTAGATAATCAAGTCTGGACCAGACAATCTAGTGATTCACAACATGAGCATCGATCCACGCAATTGGGATACGATGACATGCATCAACCATGTCAGAGAGTCTGACCCCCCGATCTCGCTAGTCTCCTCTTACGACAAGCATAGTCACCTTTTATTGCTGAAGACCTATTCTACCCCGGATCTTCACGGGTCACCTATCATGTATTTCGTCAATTGGAGATGCTTGGGTGACAAATTTGAAGCAAAGTGTGTCCATTTTCATCAAAAGTATACCGTGTCACTTAAATGCCTGCGGAAATATGCTGCTTGATTGCGTATTTGGTTCAAATTCACATAAACATCGAAATCATCGTACTTAATACATGCGTTGAGCCAATAACTTCAAATAACTAAACATACAGATACATGTACAGGCTAGATCGACTGATGACGATTGTGATTCAGATCCAGTTAGCACGAGCTTTAGAATGTAAATTTCTTTATTCTCTTGTTTGTATTCAGGCACAGGTAGGGGACATATACATATGGTAGGGCACATATACATATATCTACAAACATATTACTGTTCTTATATAAAAGCACATTACAGATTTTCAGAGCGCTGTAGATGCCCTGCGCTCACAGATATTCTTCGCATTATCGGCATTTAATACAAAATATATGTACATTATTTCTCAACGAAATCTGTGAACACCATATGTAAAGATGAACAGAAACATTTAAATTAATCAGAATAACGAGTGAAATAAGAGATATGTGTGACTGCATGGAGAGCAACAAATATCTATGTGAATGCGTTTGAAGTAAGGCAGACGCGCTATGAAAAAGACCACGGAGGCAGTATGGTGTTGACAGACGAAAGGCGACTAGTCCATATAAATATGAGGCAGTTTCACTCGAGTTGTGTTGTTCACAATAGTCCAGCTATGTTGGTGTGCCTTCATATAGTTAAGTCTCCCTTCCTCACAATGAGGGGCGGTCGGGTAACCTAGTGGTTAAAGCGTTCGCTCGTCACCCCGAAGACCCGGGTTCGATTCCCGACATGGGTACAATGTGTGAAGCCCATTTCCGGTGTCCCCCGCCGTGATATTGCTGGAACATTGCTAAAAGCGGCGTAAAACCATACTCACTCACTCACTCCTCACAATGAAATGCATACATTCAAAACTTTAAGGGACCCCCGATGTTGAATCCATCACACTGTTTGTTGTTCAACTACATAGACAGTTAACCATTTGAAAGGTTAGACGAAAACAAAACCCTTTGAAGGCGTGTTGAACCAAACATCTTATTATCTCCATAAGAATTCGATGTAGAGAACAATCAATACACTGTCCCAAAAAATTGCCTCTGTAGACACTGTTCATATTTCTGCATAAAACATTTCAGATTTCCACTGGCTTGAGTGAATGTACGCGAATCCCTATCAATAGTAGAGTATGAACCAGACATACCAGTGTTTGATAGCACGTGTAACGTGTCGTGCCTTTGGGTGCGATGACAAATCTTACAAGCATGACGTGCTGTGGACCTATTCTTCCCCGGAATCCCCACGATTCCAAATATGCCAAACACACCCCGAATACCAAGGGTTGGTTGAAATGGGTTTTAACGTCGCGTTGAAGATTATTGCTAGTTAATGTCGGTTCTGACTCCGTGTAATTATAATAAATCTTTAAGTTACATACGGTGTGAACATAAGTTTACATTGTTCGTGGATTAAACATATTTCTTATTTCAGCAAATTATATCGGAACTGGATTGGTAAACAAGTCGTAGGACTAATATACATACTGTTTCAGTAATGCATACCGTCAAAATGAAAATACATGTACAGTAAGGAGAGCAATGACTTGTAGATAGTACCAGTGGATATGAGGGAGTTGTGTCGGGCGCGAGTAATAAGCTATATGAACTGTTTAATGATCAATTTGAAATCTTGGTATTCTTTACCAGATGAACTGTACACAAAGGAAGGCCTTTTTTTCTATTTAGAAGCATCATGGTCGTTTTTTCATAGTCGCATGCTCTCTCTACGAAGAGCGTCATGCGACTCGTGCTAAAGTTGTTTGATCGAGTCATAGCAATCGATGCCTCAGTAAAGCTTTCAAAACGGTTTATGGTAGATATGCAGAGTGCAAATTTGACGCATCAGCGACCACAATGATGTTAGATGCAATTTGAGGTGTTGACATGTACCATATGTTGCCTTTGCCGGTGTCTGTCATGTGTGTCACAGGTAGGGCAGGATGCACTCACCTTTCTGCGAACACCTGGTTTCACCACTAACTGATAGTAGTTAAAAAATATAGTCGGAATCGAACAACTGACTCTGCTTTTTAGCAGAAAAAATCTCATGATTATTAAAATGGTATTGTCTTTTTTATTTATGTATATGCAAATTCAGCTTTTTTGTATCTGATCCCTATCATACCCGACATGACTTCACAGTTAATTTACGACAAATATCAATCCCATTTTTCTACAGATAACCAAGATAATAAGTGTCAACACTGTAATTACTGGAGCGTGGCAACAATCACTTTGCAATCACAATGTATACCTTAATGAGGTTTCCCCAATTACTGTCACAAGCTACGGTGAACAGGTGACGATGTGTCAGCCATTACGCCGCCTAGAGCTATTAAAATATTGCAGCAATGTCTCGCCGTGGTATACCAAACAATCACACATTGGATTCAACAAGTGAATCGATCTCGGTTCAACCAACGCGATCGCTTGTAAAATAAATCACAAACAAAAGTTACCGAGTGCAGAAAAGTGACACTCATATCAAGCTACGTTGTGTTAAATAACGAGATATTCAAGTCAATGCTAATGCACCATACGTATATAACAATAGTCATCATAATTAACACATAACAAACTCAAACGCTGATTATTAATAGCATAAAATTGACAAATCAATATCAAGTTCTCATCGATAATGAAATGACGAGCAACCGGGATGTATTACATACGTTAACGTTTTAAAGATGTTTATTTTGAAAATATTTTCATAATTACCCTCCAAAAAATAATTTGAAATGATTTTCGTAATCAAGGACAACAACCACTGTGGCGAATCGGGGTTGGGTTGTTCATCGTGACCATGAGGTCTGGACATCACATACTCACCCTAACCACCACCAACAACAGCCTCTTTTGAACAACATGGATGCGACCCTGATACGCTGTTTCTAAATGACTAAAAAATATACATGTGCTATATTTTACGTAAAACTAACTGAATTCGGCAAATAAACGACGCTGAGTATGCTGGGCGGGCGAACCAGGAAGACAACGATCCACGTGACAGTATATCCGCAGGGCTAAATGCAGCTATCAACCATGCTAATTCATGCACACATACACTGGTGTTGCTGTACACGGAAGCAGATTTAACAACATCGTAGCGTCAACATACATAAAGCAAAACATATCAAACTTTCAGCACTATTCCAAACTTTTGAAGTGTGTTTGTGCAGCCACTTCTACTGTCGTGCCTGGGCTTGAGCTTGATCACAGTGTCAGCACGCTTTCTCAGTAGAACAGCATGTACCGTTATGGGGGTTAACGATCCTACATATCAGTAGCATGTGTTTGGTAAAACTGTACCCGGATCAAAATGGCAAGGTAGCACTGGAACCGTCTTTGAATTTCCGCAACCACCCGCCATTTTGTTCCTGGAGCCTCGCTATCATTACGAAATGCTTCGCGGAGCAGTCCAAGAGTCTCGCTTTCGCTGGTAGAGGCCTCGTTTCCGTTGAGGGATTGATTGGCATATTATGATACCAGATTTATCCCCGGTATAAAATGGCCGGCTTCTCCAACCTAGAAACTAACTGAATATGTTTTGGAGTACTGAATTCCTGGTGGCTTCCCGGCCATATCGGCGAGCAGTCCTGTGTCAGGACTAGTAGAGCGTGTGTTTTATTCGCCAAGGTGGTTTGAGATCCTCACGCTGCAGCATGATGGCCGAAGAAGCGGAGCGAGGGGATAGCCCTAGTGGCTCCCAGCACGATCTCGATGTTCAGCTAGGACATGGTCACTTTTTCACAAAGAAAACGTTTCACAAGCCAACCTACTGCCACCACTGCACGGATATGCTTTGGGGATTAATTGGGCAGGGGTATGTGTGTGAAGGTAAGCCTACATCAAGCAGTAACGGCCTGCTTTCCACGTTCACTGACAGAGCCAAGCATTGCCATTACCTCATTAATTTATTACAAATCCGTTATCAATTTTAATAATATGTCGGCAACGTCTATCGCTTGCTTTCGCTGCAATTTTTGACTGTTATACACACTGTTTAATATGTAGCTTCTTCAGGACATGTTGAAATTGTGTTCGTGTCCAGGAAATGAGTGTGCAAGAGGGAAAGATGGAATGGTTTGACAGACTTACTGGCTCAATCCTTCCTATCCTTCTACCGTAGAGCGGTTAGCCGGCTAGCTCCGAAGCTCAGCTAAATCCCTTATCGTAACTATCATTGCCAACGGATAAAAAATGATACATTTACTCATGGTTACTATGCATGATGTTTTAAATGTGTTCATTGTGCTAACGGCAGCGAATGTGAGGTATAATTTCTATTACTGACTCTTTGCCAAGCCATGGTAAACTATGGGATGTTGAGTGGAAGCAATGGCATATGTGATATATGCATGTGTGTATTGCAAAGGTGTGTACAGCCACTTTCCAGTAGGATATTCCTCAATTCACACACAGGTCATTAGCTGAGGGATGCTGTTGCAATTACATGCAAGGCTGTTTTAATTAATATATTCGGAGGGTGTGCATTGTACTGAATATTATCTGCTGACTGACTGAATGGCTATATTGATAAACTTGTCACCTGTTGCCTATCCCGTGGGGATTCCAGGCTAAAATTACTGAAGGTAACCTATGCTTGTCCTACAAGGCGACTATAAATGAACCAGCTTGACAGACTTGATGACGAGATAAATTGTGTGTGAACATAACCAGTGTGGCATTGTTCATAATATCAAACACTGGTTTGTTTGGTACAGATTCAATTATTTACAGGCCACCGTGATGTTGTTGAAATATGCCTGACTGTGGAATTAAATAACATTCACTCACTCACTGTTAAAACTGCTTGACCTGGACTGTCCTTTTGCACACACTTTCCAGTTATATATGTGAATAAAACATGGGACATTGAACCAGTTGTGTCTTGTTTTTTTATATCACATTGTTTTTGTTGGCAGGGTTGTATAACGGAATATGCATTATTTATAACCCATGACTGAAAATACTATATTGGAATATGTAAACTAATGAAAAAGAATGAATGTAGTGGTTACATACGGGGATGCTTTAAAGTATTTATTCATATTTACTTTAAGAGGAGTGACTATTTTTTTACACTGCTTTTAGCTATATTCCAGCAATATCACGGCAGGGGACACCAGAACATTTATTTTAAGAGTTTACAACAATTTTATGTCTGGGGAAGTAATGCAAGTAACGTTTTAGGTGTTGGCAGTAATTTAACAGTTTCAATTATTTGTAGTTCTTTCACATTTGTTTATTAGGAAACTATGTTAAAAGATACAAAGTCAAAGCTGACCTTGATGTATGCTCAGGATGAAAATGTCATTGCATCCTCTTGTGTATTGTCAAATATCAAATTTACCTTTTTGTCCAGAATTGGTGAATGGTAAATTTTGGGAATTTGATGATTGAAGTTTTTCTCCGCCTAACTCCTCTCCTAATCCTTTACATGTCTTTTTTGTATCTTGGTAATTAAGATTCATCACTTTGTAAACTGCAATTCTGAAGCTAAATCTTCTTATTTGTCTTGCTAAAAAGTAGTTTGGGTACTAATATAGGCATGTCAAATTATTGTTGTCCCATATTGTCATATTTACAAGTGTGACAAGATATCTCATCACTCACACTTGTTCTTGGTCAGTCATCTGTGCATTCAGTAAATTCATCATCATTCATGTAAGTCTAGGTTCATAGAAAATGAAATATGAACTTCATTTTGTATGAAGTTGTAGAGATTACATGAAATTAGTGCTCCATTCAGAATATCCATCTTAATATAAATAAGTGTTTGGGTACTCCTTTTAGCATGTTTTGTAAGTTTCTATTTTCATGGGGGGCACGGGTGGCCCAGTCGTCTAAGGCGCCGTGATTCGCTGTGCAGAGTTGTGTCCCTTGTGCACGCCAGAAACCTATGAATGTGGGTTCGAATCCAGGTTCGCCCCGATTATGTTTCTAGGTTTGTCAGCACCATACCCGTGCTCGTGGGTTTCACCGAAGTGGTAAATGTTTGAGCCCTGAATCACTTGGGCTTTCCTCCCACATTAAGCTGACATGCCGCGATATAACTGGAATACTGTTAAAAGCGGCGTTAAACCCAACTCACTCACTCACTTTTTATTTTCATGATCGTCCAGACATTTAAGCACAAACAATATTTGCATCCACAAAACTCAGTCAAGTTGTTGGATTTGTGTTGCAATGAAATAAGATGGTTGGGTGAATCGTGCGCTTCGGAAAAATCAGTTTATGCTTTATGTGTGTCTAGTTAACTTGTGAATTTCTAAACCCCCGTTTTAGCAATAATAAGCATGAGGACACCAAACTTCATCTGGGCAGAAATACAAGCAGGTCCTGACAATGACTTGTAATTCTTCCAAATTCACAGAGCGTAGGCTATTGCTGACAATGGAGTTGCTTAACAATGTGTCATACTGGGTACCAATTCTGTGGCAAGATATACTTCTAAGATATATGTTAAAAAGTTTAATGTCGAACATTCTTTTTGACAGCTATGTTAATTAATAGCTGGTTTCGGGGCTGTGAGGTAACCTTGTGGTTAAAGTGTTTGCCGAAGACCCCGTTTGATTCCTCACATGGGTTCAATGAATGAAGCCCATTTCTGGTGTCCTCTGTCATGATATTGCTGGAATATTGCTAAAAGTGGCATACAACAATACTCACTCACTCACTTTCGCTGTTTTTTTTGTTAATTGTACAGAATGTAAAAGTGGTACGAAAGGGTAGAAATTCTAGTCCGCTATATAACATGTCAAATCACAGACCTCTCTATTGAGGGATACAAATTACAGGTTCAGAATTAATCTAAGTCAATTAGTGTAAGACTAGTTAATTCAGGACAGACAAGTAACATTTCCTTTTAGACTTCCACTTTTACCATTAATCTTTACTATGAGGAACACAACGGTTCAGAGTGGATACCTACCCCTTCACCATGAAGCAGTAAGCAAATGCTCCATAACGTGTTCCTCATAATAAAGAAGATGACATCCATAGAGGTTATTTTATGTGTCAAGTGAAATATCATGTGTCTCTCATCGCATGATGGGGGGGATATTTTCACGAAAAATATCTTCTCTTTTTTCCCCGTCACGAGAAGAGGAAAACATGATATTTCGATCAACATTGATAATGTGAAACTAATGTAAGAAGGACATCAACAGTTTCTGTACGGGCTAGACACCTATGATAACGGTAGACAATATAAGGGTAGGTAACTCTTGTATGATAATAGTTCCGTCAAAGTGTTATGTTTACTGCAGTGAAATATCAAGTGTTATGTTCACTGCAGTGAAAATATCACTTTTCTCAACTTCAGAAAACTCTTTCACACTAAAATAATTATAATAAATAATTATTTTCCCTCATGTGTATCACTTCTAAATGCCATTCAAAGGTCAAAATGACAATAAATAATAATTTCTAACCTTATTATAAATGGCGGCCTTTTCATTATCATGACACTAACATATCATGAGACATGTTGATACCTGTGTTCAATCCTGCAGAACTGACACTGTACATTTAGTTAAACTACACAGTACATATAACCATTAGTAATAACGATTGCCGGCTGATTGTTTGAGAACAAATATTTCAATTATGTAATAGGGAAACAAGCAGAAAGGGCAAAATAATTAGTTTTTGATTTTGGGCGAAATATGTGGTACATTATAACATAGCATTGTTAACATTTAGAAAAGCAATATTTATAATAATGTATCATTGAATGCTTGATTTTACTGATATCTTAAAGTAGTAATTACAATTGTTTCATGTTTGTTTGTTTGTTGTTTAATGCCGCTTAATCAGGGGATAGTGGGTAAAATGTTGTTTGTCCGTCATGCTAAAAACCTAGCTTCAATTCCTAATTCCATGCACATTCAATCCTATTCAAGGTTGTCCCTTCCATAATGATCCTAGAGGCATTTAACGGGTTGGGTGGTAAGGCTCGCTGACTTGGTTGATGCACATCAGTCACTGGATTATTTACAGACCGCCGTCATATAGCTGGAATATTGCTGAGTGTGGCGTTAAACAACAAACAAACAAACTAATGTTCCTGGAATGTTGCAGAAGTTGTTGCCAATAATATGATGTATAGGCGACTAAATGGATCAGGTGGTCAGGCTCAGTGACATGCGTGTCATTGTACCCAGAAATAGTGGCTGCTGCCTTTCCTATCATTCACTGGTTAGTCTGGTCTAGATTTGATTATTTAAAGAGTGACATGATGTAGCTGGAATGTTGCTGATTTCTGTATTAAACAACAACAACAACAAAAACACATTAGCACCTGAACAAAAGATTTCACAACATAGTGCATATTGGATGCAGTGCTGTCAAACAGATAGCTGGTTTGACAGGAGCTGGGATTATATCTCCATGTTAAAAATGTCATGTTAGAAAACCGGCGCTGTTTTACAAAAAATGTGTTCACACTGTTCATGAAGTAGGACCTGGTGGTTTAACCTATTTACTGAAGGAACAAAAACTGAGTCCCAGTAAAAGGCCCACATCATGCAGTACTGATAGTCTTACTGGATATTGTATGTGTTTGGAGGAAGCATGAAGACTTGTGATCCAGGTTACCGTTGTACAAAACAACCTTAGCGCTACGACTGTCATAAGTCTATGTAGATATGGGAGTTACGATCACCTTAGCGCTAAGATCGCTTTGTACAACACACCCCAGGTTGCTACAACTTGCTGTTCCGAGTTTCATCCCTCAGCTATACCAACACTGGCTGATATTCAGTTCAAAACCTTCGATTTGTTAATGATCCATAGGGGGCGATCGGGTGGCCAAGCGTTCACTTGTCATGCTGAAGACCCGGGTTCGATTCCCGACATGGGTGCAATGTGTGAAGCCCATTTCTGGTGTTACCCCTGATATTGCTGAACTATTGCTAAAAACGGCGTAAAATTGAACTCACTCATTAATGATCTCTAGGTTTGTCGGCACCGTAATCATGCTCATGGTGTCCCAGAAGAGGTAAATGTCCTCCCAGATGGAGCTGACATGTCATCATATAGCTACAATTCTGTTAAAAGCTGTGCTGAATCTAGGTCATTGTGTTTTGGAGCTCATTTGACATGTTTGTGTAGGAACATACACCATTAATGTAACCATGCTTACTTGACCAATAGGTCCACACAATTCTCCAGTCCACTGCTCTGATATGTCTTTCAGGCAGCAATGTAAGTGATATATATTAGCTCTGTAAATAACCATGTTGACAGGACCAAAACAGAGTTTTCCTTCTTCAGGCTTATGACTTACAAGCAGACTTACGCAAGGCCAGCATTTATGCAACTTCATCCAACTGCATTCCTCCATATGCCCTGAATATTTCATACCCATATATTGTGTACATGTTTCACATCTTTAAAAAATATGCCAATGAAATAACTGTCAGAATAAAGATAGGCAAGACAATTCCAACCAATCAAATTACAGCTCTTTATTCAAAACCTTTCAAACAATACTGACATGTTCTGTGAATTAGGCAAATTTTTCACAGAGAAAGCTGACAGAAACCTAAGAGTAGGACATCTTCAATGTAACCTAATTCTTAATTTATGCAACACAAAAAAGTTAAAGAACACCCAGTTCGTTTTCATAGGACTATTGTTAATCTGTCATGATATGACAGATTAACAGTAGTCATATGAATAAAATCGAGTGTTCTTAAACTTCTTTTGAGTAGTATACATAACATTCTATTCTTTTCCAGTTTATGTGCAGTGTTTGTATGTCAGACAGATAGTCACACAAATCTAAAACAAAGTATTTTACTTTTTCAGTCTGCAACTTTGTTGTACATGATCGATGTCTACGAACTGTTGTGTCAGCTTGTTCAAGTATTGCTGCAAATCGTGTCAAGGTAAGTTGTAGATGTGTTTCATCTTATTCTTTATTAATGTTTTCGAACACATTGAGTTATTTGCTTAACTTCTGTTTGATTTGTACAGCCAATGGCAAGGAAGTTTGATTTGTACGGCCAACAGCAAGCAGTTTGATTTGTACAGCCAATGGCAAGGAAGTTTGATTTGTACGGCCAACAGCAAGGAAGTTTGATTTGTACAGCCAATGGCAAGGAAGTTTGATTTGTACGGCCAACAGCCAGCAGTTTGATTTGTACAGCCAATGGCAAAGAAGTTTGATTTGTACGGCCAACAGCAAGGAAGTTTGATTTGTACAGCCAATGGCAAGGAAGTTTGATTTGTACGGCCAACGGCAAGGCAGTGATTTGTACGGCCAATGGCAAGGCAGTTTGATTTGTACGGCCAACAGCATGGCAGTTTGATTTGTACAGCCAATGGCAAGGAAGTTTGATTTGTACGGCCAACAGCAAGGCAGTTTGATTTGTACGGCCAACGGGAAAGGCAGTTTGATTTGTACGGCCAACGGCAAGGCAGTGATTTGTACGGCCAACGGCAAGGAAGTTTGATTTGTACAGCCAACGAGCAAGGAAGTTTGATTTGTACGGCCAACGGGAAAGGCAGTTTGATTTGTACGGCCAACGGCAAGGCAGTGATTTGTACGGCCAACGGCAAGGAAGTTTGATTTGTACAGCCAACGAGCAAGGAAGTTTGATTTGTACAGCCAACGAGCAAGGCAGTTTGAATTGTACGGCCAACGGCAAGGCAGTTTGATGCATAGGCACAAATTGGATTCTGCTTGTTTGGTGGATTTTTTGGACGCGTCATGTGACTACCTGTGTCATCATCCAGTGGGCAACATCCAAGACTGCAGGATGTGTAGGAACCGTGTTTGATGTATTATGCAATAAGATGCAAGGCATGGATTATTTGGCTTCTGTAAACAAGCATTTGTTGCTGCTAGTTGTAAGAATGATACTAATCACTGTACATGCTGTATGTGGTTAGTGATTGCAAGAAGAGGCTTGTCTGGTTAATTTTTTGTTTTACTGATTTTCCCAGTGAATAAGGCAAAAGAAGGGAAAGCAAAATTCAAGATATGACTGATTTGAAGTTATTTTCCCGAGCCCCCCCCCCCCCAAAAAAAATAAAACACACCAAAAAATACAAACAAAAGATGTTCAAATAAAGATTGTGACTCTATCTATTTTGATTTGCTTTTTACATGTTATATGAGGTCGGCTCATCCATAAAAAGAGAAATAATATTGATTTGGCCCAAGTGAACAATAGGATCACCTGATGTAATTACCAGTCAGTGCCGAAAATGTTTCAGTTTGCAAACCCAAACTTGTACTTTGGCATTATTTTCAGTAGATTTTAGGCTTAGCATATGTACTAGCATCAGATGATCTTACTCGACCAGAAGAAATTTGACTTGATTTGGGTTTGGTACTAGTGCCTAAAGTTACAGACTGAAATATTCAACTGACATCTGCAGGTGAGACGCATCACTCCATTTAATGTATGTGGCAGATTAGTGCAATAAATTCAGTGTTGTACAATTAAGATTGTGCTGGCTGACCTTGGCTAATGGTGGCTACTACAGCAAACTCCCTGACACACTGAGTGAGTGAGTGAGTGAGTTGGATTTAACGCTGCTTTTAACAGTATTCTAGTTATATCACGGCATGTCAGCTTAATGTGGGAGGAAATAATATTGACAACCCAACTCACATTCATGTACCAGTTATTATGCAACCTTGTAACTTGACAAATGAAGAGGGATATAAAAGTCTATCAGAACATGAATTTTATGCTCCTAAGTCCTGGCCAGAAAAGGGGACCGTCACTGGCAGAGGATGACACAAAGGATGGTTTGATGAATACAGAGGACTTGATGTTTGACCACCAGCTGCAGAGGATCTGATATTTGACCATCAGCTGCAGAGGATCTGATGTTGACCACCAGCTGCAGAGGACTTGATGTTTGACCACCAGCTGAAGAGGATCTGATTTTGACCACCAGCTGCAGAGGATCTGATGTTTGACCACCAGCTGCAGAGGCTGATGTTTGACCACCAGCTGAAGAGGATCTGATTTTGACCACCAGCTGCAGTGGATCTGATGTTTGGCCACCAGCTGCAGGGTATATCAAAGGACTTGATGTTTGAGCACCAGCTACAGAGTATATCAGAGGACTTGATGTTTGGCCACCAGCTGCAGGGTATATCAGAGGACTTGATGTTTGACTACCAGCTACAGAGTATATCAGAGGACTTGATGTTTGAACACCAGCTGCAGACTATATCAGAGGACTTGATGTTTGAACACCAGCTGCAGAGTATATCAGAGGACTTGATGTCCAAGGGTGGAAACTGGACTTTTATAGTCAGTTAACTCTCTTGCCTCGGGAAGATGAGGTATCACATGCTCGTCATAAGAGCCATAAAAGGCGACTATGCTTGTCGTAAGAGGCGACTAACGGGATCGGGTGGTCAGACTCGCTGACTTGGTGGATGCATGTCATTGTATCCCAATTGCGTAGATCGATGATCATGATGTCAATCACTGGATTGTCTGGTCCAGACTTGATTATTTACAGACTGGGATATTGCTGAGTGCAGCATAAAACAACAAACAAACAACAAACAAATCAATCGTAAGAGCCACTTAATAAGATTAGGTGAAACAATTAGTGACCTTGCTGATTGTGTCATCATACCTTGATGTCATGGATCATTGCTCCTGCTATCAACCACTGGATTGCCAGGACAAGGCTCGGTTATTTACACGCTGCTGTGATACAGCTGGAATATCACTAATTGAGGCGAGAAACATGCACTGAATGAATAAATTTGCCGCTACCTTGTAGGCTTCTTGTACAGGCACATTCATTATGGTGTGAGTTACAAATAACTATTGCTACAACTCTTCTTCTAACCTTCCTTAATATGCAGCGTGAAAGGTCTAACACAGCTTGACATGGCCTCACACAGAGAGTGGTGTAATGAACCAAACAACAAGTTTCATTATCATAATTATCAGTTGAGAACAAACAGGCTTCATGAACTTGTGTATCAAACTGACCACACATGACAAGGAACTCAGTGAGAAGCATTGTCTATATCTAGAGCTCAGCTGCATTGTTTATTGCAGCCCCAGTACATGCAGTGAACTTGACATGACGTTATACTCTCAATATGTCCAGATAAAAAGGTGTCCCTTTATTAATTTATGCGAGCAAGGGACACTCACATTTATTGCATTAATTCATGCTTGCATTGATTTCATGACTTAAAGTAGTTGGGAGGCACTCCCATGAAGGACAAGATTTTAAGTTCTCTAGAAGTCTTCGATAACTGTAATATTTCTCAGTTTATTCTCATAAGAAAACTGTCAATTTATCAGGCAGCAAAGAAAAACTGTGAATAATTGTCAACACCTGTCGCATATTATAGTTGTGACAAATATTAAGGTCAACTCAAGGTCATTCACTAATGAAAAGACTTTTGGGTTTAAAGTCATATTGATTTAGGCAAGTATTTCATGTCTATTTCTTTGAATCTGAATCAACAATGGCCCAACTTGAATATCAGTAGATATTGGGGAGGTCAGCTGTCACCTAATTGTGCTACTGTTAAACTGCTCATGACACATCTCAAGGGTGATGTGTATTTAATGTCTTAAGTGTTTTTCAAGAGCTTGAGCAAGGTTGTGATATATCCCGACAGAGAACAAACCTTATTTTGGGGAAAGTGTAGCCTTGATGTCCGCATGCCATCAATAATGCCCCCCCTTACTCACTCTACATTATGAAAATGGGAAACAAATTAACAGATAAGTTCATGTTTATATGTAACCTCTGTTAAGGAAGGAGAGTGCATATGATAAAACCTGTAATATGTGTTAGTGAATGTGTTCGGTTCAATGCACAGTATTTCAACTACTGTAAATCTTGAAATTGACGTAGGCGTGAATTAAGTGCGAAAAATACAAGTTGTCTTTACTTGCATAAATTAACTTTGCATTTATGTCTCCAAAATGACTATCAACAATAAGACAGCCTCACAGCACACTTTGGATAGCGGAAATACTAACTTGAATATAAATATAAAAACAAACACGGTTTATTGAGCAGCAGTAGTAAGAAGTATGTAACAATGTCATTCAAAGAAAAGGAATTGTACAATAGGCATTCCTTGAGTTATCATTGCTGGGGTCAAGAGTAATCTACCCACTTGTGTCAAGCTTGTTGACACCTTCTCCGCATACCAATCAGAGACCTGTTGCTTCAATTTTGTATTGCCTTTGAACTTCAGAGTCAACAGTCAACAGAGTAAACATATAGATGAGATGTGCATTGTTTTTAGGAAAACACTGTTTGTTGTTTTTACAGAAGTGCTCTACTCAGTGCTAATAAGCCGTGCTATTTGCTGTTTGATTGATATGTATCATTGCACTGGGGATGGGGTGGGGGGAGTCGCATTGATATTGAGTCACATTTTTGGCTAGGGGTCAGCAATTGTATTAATTTGGAGACGCATTAATTTCCAGATTTACAGTGTGTCATGGCATGTCAGTTTGAAGTGGGAATAAAGACCTAAGTGATGCAGGTCTTTGAAGTTTAACACTTCTGTGAAATCCATGAGTTTGAGTATGGTACTGGCAGACCCAGAAACGACATTACGGCGAACTGGGATTCTAACACACAATTATAGGTTTCTGGCATGCCGAATAGATGAAACTCTGGATAGCGTGTGTGGTGCATTAGATGACAGGGCCACCCATGTCCCATAATACACCATATTCATATAATAAGCACCCAGGGTGCCCTCAAAATTGGAAATAGGGGACTCTTATTAGAATAAAACATTTGTGAAAGAGTTGAAAGATTGTAAATTTCGTGGTTTATGCCGACAGCCTGAAATGATACAAAAGAAAAGTCTGCGTGTATTATACACGACAGATACATTTTTCCAGAATTTAATTGCCCGAAATTA